CTGAAGGTGGAGTAGTTCATAGTTTAATAGTGTTGAATCTAGTAATATTTGCAGTCTACATGTATGTAAAACCTATGTACCGTTGTTTAATTAGTGAACATAAGAGTACAATGTATAAGCTGGTAAAGTTAGGGTTATTCGTGAATATAGTACGCTTTGTTCACCAAATAAGTACAATGTATAAGCTGGTAAAGTTCGGTTTATTCGTGAATATAGTACGCTTTGTTCACCAAATAAGTACAATGTATAAGCTGGTAAAGTTCGGGTTATTCGTGAATATAGTACGCTTTATTCACCAAATAAGTACAATGTATAAGCTGGTAAATTTTGGGTTATTCGTGAATATAGTACGCTTTATTCACCAAATAAGTACAATATATAAGCTGGTAAAGTTTGGGTTATTCGTCAATATAGTACGCTTTGTTCATCAAGTAAGTACAATGAATACACATGTGAAGTACAAGTGATTCGTGACTATAGTACGCTTTGTTCACTGATGAAGTATATGTTTGCCATTCATATAGTATTGTTACACTCTATATATTATTGTGGGGCCAATGCATCCATATGATCGCATTTTAAGACACAACTCTTCATTTTAAGACTATTAAGAATGAATGGAGACAATGTGGGAGTCGATCAATATCGATTATGGTAACAATTGAGGAAAATATTAGTTTTACACTTGAGCATTGTAGACTTGTATGAATATATTGTATAGTATATGAGTATCATGTATGAAATTCAACATATTTATGGGATCTTGTATTCCAAACGCAACAATAATGCTCACCTACCTTAAAATAATCATCTAAAACATAATTTATGCATCTCCCGTACTTATTGATCATTAAAGCGTCAATGAAATTGGTACAATTCAATTCATCAAAAAATATGGTACGCTTTGTTCATCAAGTAAGTACAATGAATACACATGTGAAGTACAAGTGATTCGTGACTATAGTACGCTTTGTTCACTGATAAAGTATATGTTTGCCATTCATATAGTATTGTTACACTCTATATATTATTGTGGAGCCAATGCATCCATATGATCGCATTTTAAGGCATACCTCTTCATTTTAAGACTATTAAGAATGAATGGAGACAATGTGGGAGTCGATCAATATCGATTATGGTAACAATTGAGGAAAATATTAGTTTTACACTTGAGCATTGTAGACTTGTATGAATATATTGTATAGTATATGAGTATCATGTATGAAATTCAACATGTTTATGGGATCTTGTATTCCAAACGCAACAATAATGCTCACCTACCTTAAAATAATCATCTAAAACATAATTTATGCATCTCCCGTACTTATTGATCATTAAAGCGTCAATGAAATTGGTACAATTCAGTTCATCAAAAAATATGGTACGCTTTGTTCATCAAGTAAGTACAATGAATACACATGTGAAGTACAAGTGATTCGTGACTATAGTACGCTTTGTTCACTGATAAAGTATATGTTTGCCATTCATATAGTATTGTTACAATCTATATATTATTGTGGGGTCAATGCATCCATATGATCGCATTTTAAGGCATAACTCTTCATTTTAAGACTATTAAGAATGAATAGACACAATTCTTCAGTTTATGGTAAGTTTTTCGTGAATACACATGTGAACTACGCTTTGTTCATCAAGTAAGTACAAGTCTAGTGTTAACAAGGTATCTTCGAATAGACTAGAAAGTATTTGTTGCTCATTTTTATGGTACGCTTATATTCTTTATACAAACTAATTAATCGCAAAATAAAGTACCATGTGTTCAAAAGGTAAGTACATTTCATAGAAACATATAGTACAATGGATACAATGGAAAAGTACGAAGCGAGCTAATCAATAGTATTATTAGCTCTACAACAAAAGGACAGATTGTTTATGGCACAAAAACACATTCATCTGTTCATTAATTACAAAAAAACACAAAAACCCCAAAACACTTCCAAGCGTATAGTATTTCCCCCAAACCAGAAGGCCCGATCTTTTACATTGTACGCTTGCATGAGAGACACAACCCTATGGAAGCTGTGGTTTATTTTAGGCATGTCCATGTAGTGATAAAAGGGATTTTTCTTCAGTACTTCATAATGTTGTTTCTTCATCACTTTTTTCACACATTCCATGGTTGTTTGAAAAGCGATCGGTGAGCACCTGCAGCCTATTGATAGCTTGCTGCAATCTTCTTTTACATCAATTCCTGCAATTACATACACATAAAACTACAATTATAACAAATACAACGTACTATAAAGTTCCACATGTCAATACCATCCAAAGTTACTAGTAATACCATTCAAAGGCACTAGTAATACTATTATGGCATATGACTTATACTACAGGACCATCAAACATTAGACTTCTAGTACCACATGTCAATACCATCCAAAGTCACTAGTAATACCATTAAAAGGCACTAGTAGTACTATTGTGGCATATGACACATACTACAGAACCATCAAAGATTATACTTCCAGTACCCTGTGTTAATACCGTCTGAAGTCAAGAGCAATACCATTATTACATATGACATATCCCTTGTTGGGACTAAATGCTTTCGGGACAGTACTTCGAGTACCCTGTGTCAATACCATCTAAATGCACTATTAATACCATTACTGCGCATGACACATACCCAGTACGAAAACTACAATAAGCCTCTTTCCCATATCCTATATGAAACCCTTGTTAGGACTCAAAATGCTTTGGGGACATGCTAATGTCACCGAAGAATAATACCCATGAGGAAACTGTTACAAAATCATGAAATTCGACAACAAATAAATGATCTTTGCAAACCCAAACAACAGAAAAACAGATATTGGAACCGATTTAATGATTAGGGAAAACACCGAATAAAGTCGAGGCATAATACCCATGAGAGGATATGTTCAAAATCATGCAATTCTACAACAAATAAACCTTTTTGCAAGCTTAAGCAACACCCAAATGGGTCTGTTTCCAAGAAAATGAAAGAAAAAAAAAATCAAACCTTGTTGTTTACCCTGCTTCACCATTGTCGAGAAATGGGTTTGTTTATTTTTATTTTTCCTTTCGTTTTATAATTTTTCTGCGTTTTGTTGATTCTTCGTGCTTCGTTGTTTCCTTCTTCTTTGTTGTTTTTTTGTTCTTCGTTTCTTCTCTGTTTAGCTTCTTTCTTGTTGTTTGATTTTTGAAATGTAACGGGCAAAGAGCGTGTAATACAAACGGCGCGTTGGAGGTTGGAAATAAGTTATGTAAAATTAGTATAAAGTAAAGGGTATTTTAGTATTTGCACATTTTATTAGGGACTGAACTGCATGTTAGGCGCGTGAGTAGGGACTGAATTGCTTGGGGAAACTACCTAGGGACTGATCTGTGAGTTGAGTTTTGGATTAGGGATTTATCTGTAGTTTCCCCTAAATTAAATGATTTTGATTTCACGAAGCATAATTATTACTAAAAATAATTGTTGATTATATAAGATACTAGGGTTGGGTATTATTTGTAAAATAAACCCAATGGGCTTTATTGAGCTTATGATAAACAAGGCCCAAGAAATCAAAGGCAACCCCTTTTTGATTTGTTTTCAAAATTTCTATTTCCCGACTGTAAATTCGGCGTCGTCATCCCTCCCCCCTCTTACCCTTCTTTCAATTTCTCCTTTCTCTGCATTTCCGTCTCTCTCTCTCTCTCTAAGGTAAACCTTTTTCTCTCTCTCTCTCTCTCTCTCTCTCTCTCTCTCTCTACATTATTTTATCATTCCGATCAATTGCACTAGGGTTTTTTCCGCTTAAATCTTGACCTAAACCCTCGCCCAGTTAACCAAGATGGAGTGGAACCCAGAAACCCTAAATTTCCTCTCTCAGTGCTTCCTCAACACATTATCTCCACTCCCCGAGCCTCGCCGCCGCGCCGAGGCTGCACTGGCTGAGGCTGCTGATCGACCTAACTATGGCCTTGCCGTTCTCCGCCTCGTCGCCGAGCCCACTGTTGATGCACAGATCAGCCAATCCGCTGCCGTCAACTTCAAAAACCACCTCAAAACCCGTTGGTCCCCACAACCGAATGATCCTGTTCAGTTTATTGTACCAGACCCGGAGAAGGAACAGATTAAATCCTTAATTGTTACCTTGATGGTTAATTCCTCTCCCAAAATTCAAGCACAGCTTAGTGAAGCCCTTACTATTATTGGGAAACATGATTTTCCAAAAGCCTGGCAGACTTTGTTGCCAGAAGTAGTTGCGACTTTGGATAAATTGAGCCAGGCTAATGACTATGTTTCAGTCAATGGTGTTTTAGCTATGGTTAATTCTTTGTTTAAGAAATTCAGGTATCAGTTTAACACGAATGAGATGTTGCTCGATTTGAAGTATTGCCTCGATAACTTTGCTAAGCCGTTGTTGGAAGTCTTTAAACGGACTGCAGGGTTCATAGACCAGCTTCAGGCTTCTGGGAATGCAAATATGAATGCTCTCAAGGGTTATATAGAGTCCCAGAGGCTGTGCTGTAGGATCTTTTATTCGTTGAATTTTATGGACTTGCCTGAGTTTTTTGAGGATCATATGGATGAATGGATGATTGAATTCAACAAATATTTGACGGTAAACTATTCTTCTTTGGAAGATAGTGGAAAGGATGGTCTTGCTTTGGTTGACGAGTTACGAGCTGCTGTTTGTGAGAACATCAGCCTGTATATGGAGAAAGACGAAGAGGCATTTCAGAAATATTTGAGTGGGTTTGTAGAGGCCGTATGGGGGCTTTTGGTTGTGGTGTCTAATTCATCCAGTCGGGAGAGGCTGACTGTGACTGCCATCAAGTTTTTGACGACTGTTAGTACAAGTGTTCATCATACGTTGTTTGCGAGGGATGATATTTTGCAACAGATAAGTCAGAGTGTTGTAATTCCCAATGTGATGTTAAGGGACGAGGATGAAGAGCTTTTTGAGATGAATTATGTGGAGTTCATAAGGAGAGACATGGAAGGCAGCGACCTTGATACTAGAAGGAGGATTGCTTGTGAACTCCTTAAGGGGATTGCTACGAATTATAAGCAGAAGGTTACTGAGAAGGTGAGTGCTCAGTTACAGAGTCTCTTGACCTCATTTGCAGAGAATCCATCAGCAAATTGGAAGCACAAAGACTGTGCTATCTATTTGGTTGTCTCCCTCGCAACGAAGAAAGCTGGTGGAAGTTCTGTTTCGACTGATCTGGTTGACATTGAGAGCTTTTTTGGCTCTGTTATTGTGCCAGAGCTGCGGAATCAAGATGTTGATGGATTTCCGATGTTGAAAGCTGGTGCACTGAAGTTCTTCACTGTGTTTAGGAATCAAATCTCCAAACCTGTTGCATTGGCATTGCTTCCTGATGTGGTTCGCTTCCTCGGATCGGAGTCCAATGTTGTTCATTCATATGCTGCCAACTGCATTGAGAAGCTCTTGCTCGTCAAAGACGAGGGTGGAAGGGCAAGGTACTTAGCGGCAGATGTGAACCCGTTTTTGCTTGCTCTGATGACCAATCTTTTTAGTGCACTGCACAAGCCAGAATCCGAAGAGAATCAGTATGTGATGAAGTGTATCATGCGAGTTCTTGGAGTTGCTAACGTTTCTCGCGAGGTTGCTTTACCTTGCATCAATGGTCTGGCAACTGTTCTGAATAGGGTTTGTGAAAACCCAAAAAATCCTGTGTTTAACCACTATATGTTTGAATCAGTGGCTGTTCTGATCAGACGGGCTTGTGAGCAGGACCCCACGCTCATTTCAGCTTTTGAGACAAGCCTTCTGCCCTGCTTGCAGATGATCTTAGCTAGAGATGTTAGTGAGTTTTTCCCTTATGCATTCCAGCTGCTGGCTCAGTTTGTCGACTTGAATCGATCTCCTTTACCAGGGAATTATATGGACATTTTTGCAATACTACTTCTGCCTGAATCTTGGAAAAAGTCTGGAAACGTTCCAGCCCTTGTTCGTTTGCTCCAGGCCTTCCTTAAAAAGGCATCACATGAGTTAAATCAGCAGGGCAGATTATCTAATGTTCTTGGAATATTCAACACGCTAGTTTCATCTCCTAGTACTGACGAGCAAGGGTTTTATGTTCTCAACACCGTGATTGAGAATCTGGGATTTGATGTGATCTCACCCTACGTAAGCCACATTTGGGTGGCTTTGTTTAAACGGCTTCAGAACAACAGAACAGTGAAATTTGTGAAGTCTCTTGTAATACATATGTCACTTTTTCTGGTGAAGCACGGCCCGCAGAACCTTGCTAGCTCAATAAATACTGTCCAGCCGGATGTTTTCCGTACAATTTTGGAGCAGTTCTGGATACCAAATCTCAAGCTGATCACAGGTTCAATGGAGCTCAAACTAACTTCAGTTGCTTCAACTCGACTTATATGTGAATCATTGTCACCATCAGACTCAATGATTTGGGGGAAAATGCTTGATAGCATAGTTACACTTCTTTCACGCCCAGAGGAGGAGAGAGTGGAAGAGGATCCTGAGATTCCTGATTTCGGTGAAACTATTGGTTATAATGCTTCATTTGTCCGCCTGTATAATGCAGGGAGGAAAGAAGAGGACCCTCTGCAAGAAATTAATGATCCGAAACAATTTTTGGCTGCATCTTTGGCAAACCTTTCTGCTCGTTCGCCTGGAGTATTACCCCAAATCATTAATGAGAATCTTGAACAGGCAAATCAAGCTGCACTTTTTCAACTTTGCAGCTCCTATAATCTAAGAATTGTTTGAGAGGGAAGCTATCTTATGGTAAGAGATTTCTTTCATGTATTGCTGTTCGTATTTATCCTGTTAAATTTGCGTGATAGGACTGTGCTTTGATGCTTGAACAGTTAGCTTTTAGCTTTTATGTATTAACTCGTGCTTAAACACATTCAAAGATGGGAGTAGGAGAAACACTTTTTCTTGGGATTGCTTTTGTGTTTCAGCCTTTTTCAACTCTGATCCGAATTGCTTATGGGAAAAAATCTTGTTTGGTACTTGATGATTTCGACTTAACCTTAATTATATTGTGGTTCTGCTGTTATATGTATATTTAATCCATGTTAAATATTTTATTTCTCCAGATAAGCATCTTTTTAGCCAGCAAGTTTTTTGACAACTGCATATAATTGAACACTAAAAGCAACTATAATAGGACTCTGTTGTGATTTTTGCTTTCTATTGGAGACAGAATGCTCAAAACATAATAGAATAACGGTATGAACATTAAAAGCAACTGCATTCACTATGTCCTCCATTGTTCGATTACAATTTGTGTCGTCCGCTTAAAAGTTTTATCCTTGTATTTTTTGAAAATTATTATTAATCTTATCAAATGTGTAATTTGTTGATGCTCGTTTTCTTTTAGGAGTGATGGTATATTGGTGGAAGAAGAATGGTTTGTGGTATTATTTTTATGGGGTCGGGTCATTTTCAGTGTCCGTGTAGAAGCATGCAGAACTCTTGCATCCAACCAAATGGGTCAAGAGATAAGCCGTGGTTGAGAAATTTCAAAGGTATTTTGGGTTTTGTCAAATATAAATCCTGTAGACGGGAGCATCTGTATGAGTTTGGTTTTCTTGAGAGTGGAGACTGCCTCTCGACTTTGCTTCCGAATTTTAGTTTATCGGTCGACATGTATTCATATAAGAAGATGATATTGAATTTTGTGGTGGTTTTGGGTGAAGTGATTGAGGTATAAACCATATTGTTTTTGAGTGGTCAAGTTGTGTAGACAATCATTTGTGTCCAAGTTATTATTCATTTTCTATTTGCGCATGCTTTTGAGGTTATAATCATCATGGCTGGAATCGAGATATGGGGAATGAGTGTTGTTAGAGAAGACAAATGAAGTGTTATGAGTAGAGCATTGGTTTCTTGTTTCTTAATTATTATGTTTAATCCTCCTGAGTATGAAGTCTCATCTTTAATTTGAAAAATACATAGAAAGTTTAAACAGACATACATGGGAGAGTAGAAATATGATACAGGAACAGAAAATGTTAGGAAATTTGTTGAAGATGTAAGTGATGGGTCCAAATCAATTCCTGACAAATAAATCTAATCTGCTTTGTGGAAGGAATATAATTAGAATCCAATGCTCAAATTCTCTCATCACAATTTCATCCTTTGACTATCATATGTGTCAAATAGTTAGTTGCTTGTGCAAGTAACTAATAAGATTGTTTTACCGTTTAAATTACAGAATTGTACTAAAAATATAAATGGTTTGGGTAAATATAGAGAGAAATGACTGTCTGTTATCCAACTGTAAAGTCAAAGATGACCAAGCATTAGGCACAAAATTCTCCCATTATCTAATTATTATTATTATTATTATTATTATTATTATTATTATTGACCCACCCAAATAGTAAAGAAACATAAATAAATATAATAGAAAAATTGACCTAATAATAATAACGGGATGGATTGATGTAGCATAATAGCATGACGATCCAACCATAAAATTGGGTTGCCTTATTTTTCTTCTCTTTTGTGGTGAAAACAGAAGAGCTATAAAACCCCCCGGTCCCCTACTCTACTTAATAATTAATATATATATTATATAATCCCCCTCCACTTTTTTCCTATCATTCATGTTAAAATACCTACTACTCCTCTCATCAACAATAATAATACACAAAAACACACACTAAAAGAACATGGAGAGAAAAGATGAAAAAGAGGTGAGTTTTTCCAGGCTCAAGTTTCCACTTTTACCCCTACCGCCAGACACCGTGCATTCAGGAACGGCAACACCGCCGCTCCATACCCTAGCCTCCGTGCCGTTCAAATGGGAGGAACAACCCGGAAAACCCAGACCCTGCACCGACATCATCGCCCTACCCGAACCCGAACCCGCCTTGGACCTCCCTCCATGCAGGATGACCAAACTGCCCTCCCCTACCGCAGTTCTTGATGGCCCTTATAATCTCGATCTCGCCCGCCCCAAATTTTCTTCATTCAGATTTTTTAGAGAGCCCCGTGGTGCTTCTTTCGACAGCAGCAGCAGCAGCAGTCCTCTAAGCTCAGTGGATCATGTGTTGATTGGGAAGAAGAGTACTTCTAATGGAGCTGGAGGCCTGACCAAAACCAGAAGGTTGTTTAATTTCCCAAGCAGTACATTGAGATCATGCAATAAGAGTGGTCATCATCACAACGAAGCTGATGGGGGTAGTTTTGGGTTTTCCCCCTCATCCAAGACGACTATGAGGAGAAATGGGAGTAGTTTTTCCAGTCTCGCTCAAGCTGCTGCGCCTACTCATCATCATCTCTGGGTAATTCCGTACTATCATCATTCATCCATCCTTCTCTTTTATTTGCTAAACTCTAGTAGACTAGATCCCATTCAATCTTATTTTCAAGAATGCTTAAACAATTTCTAGGTTTAATTAATTACCTCCCAATCATACGTGGTAATATTAATATATATGGGATAAAATATTATAAGTGATTATATTGTTGCAAATTAAATATTTATTTTGATTACTACTCCGATCCGTATTAACTTATTTCTTGTTAGTGCTAATATTGTAAATTATGGTTTCAAAATTGAAGACAGCTCAGTATTAGTGAGTATTGAGACAAACCGACTTAATTAATCATCTAATTAATAATTGTGTGGCTAAAATAAAAACCTTAGAGATTAGGGCAAATGGAAAATTAAATAGTGACGGCAGAGTTGAGTTGAGGAGGGGCAATAATCACTTTAATGAGGAAAGCTTCCTCTTTCAGCAAAAGTAAATAATTTTGTCCCAAGTGGGCCCCAATTTTTAATTTTATCAAGGAGTAGGTAGAATGCTGTACACAGCTTTTATATGTTTTTATTTTTGTCAATAAGCAGAAAAGTGTGATTGATCTATTTAGTAATTTTTAATTTTTGTTTTTCAGGGAAGTATATATGAGAGTTTAAAGCAAGCTGTGGCATGGAAAAGCACAAGAAAATCAAAGAAAGAAAGGATACGTATCAAGGAGTACGAAATTATATATTAAGTATAGTATAAACATGCTCTTAGCTTCCTCTAATCTAATATAAAGCAGCTTCAGCATTATTTATATAGTAATACATATTTTATTCTTGCATGAATCACAAAGATATTGTAAGATTTGTATGAGTGGTAGTCAAATTTTGATTTGTAAGAAATTATTGATGTATACTTGAGACAGTTTATATGTTAAGAAGTTGACCATATAATAAATGTTTAATACAAAATAGAAGATGATATTAAATCAATGCCCCCAAAAGTAAAAGTTGCAAATGATATAGCAAGACATACAATTTAAAAGTGATTATTCCTCAAAAAAGAAGATACATGTTCTCACACAATTTATTTCGACAATAGAAAACGCCATCCTTTCCGATTATCAACTGTGTTTCTTCCCGGTCACACCAGCAACCACCTGCAAATACAAGAAGAGAGTGCATTAATTCAATGGTATAAAGAGATTTACGAGAAGATTTCTGCCGACACTAGAATAAGCTAGAGTCCCATGTGCAGGCAGCATCACCATACTTGATATCCTAGCAATTAATCTATTGACTTTCGAAACATTTTTTGTCTTTAACTCATCACAAAACCAACATTTTAGGTGCAAGACAACTTGGTACCTCTATAAACTCATCACATCCCCTTCTCCATAACCACCCGAAAACTAGGACCACAACCTCCACACCAACCAATCACCTTAATCTTCTTTGCTTAATAGACAGAGATTACATCTCGAGGGTTCAAAGACCGCCTCAATCATGGCTAATCTTACCAAACAAACGAGGACAAGAAGTATTCAACTCAATAGCAGAACAAGACAAGCCCTTCTCTGTGTATAAAGAGGGTAAACCATTTACCAGGACTCAAATAGAAAACGAATCATTACCAGCAAGGTAAACATAATATCCAATAAGGAAGTATATATGAAATCACAAGAGCAAGATTAAGTCGAAAGGATGCCAAGACCAAACTAGGATAACATGGTACCTAACAAAACCAAACACTTACATCGCTTAAAGCAGTCGGAGGTACTTGCTTTGTTGTTTCATAAGAGTCTAGTATCGGCCTTACCACTGCTGGAAGGAACAATCCTGTAAATGTCATATGATTAGAAGGAACGTCTTAGATCATCACATAACAAATGCACTTATATATTGCAACTATCTGAACGCATGTTTGGCACACATTCGCACAGAACACAACACCATCAACTTGCAAAGCATTTATATAGATAGATACATCATACTGTACTTGCTCAAGATAAAAATTTCTGCTAAAAAAGCTGAAAATACCAGTGAAATGAATTACAAAATATGATCAAAATGTGGTCTTTAGATGGAAAGTCGGGAAGGGAAATCTAAAGTTACAACAGAGCAATCACCAACCAATCAAAAAAGTTACAGCTACTGGAATAATTAGTTTGAAGAACTGCTTCCCAGGTTGTTCCTAAATTAAGCTACGATCCCATCCTTCAAAAGCGGTGTAGCAATATAATCAGAATTAGCTACACCACATCGCAGGCCAGCATTGTAGGTGACAATTTTAATCGATTTCTACAAAACTGATATTTGATTGGTCAGCAAAAGTAGTCAATTACCCCCCCTATTTCATTCACCAAAATGGGGATTTTAGGGCTTCTAACAAACGTTCTGAATTGAATCAAACTATTTCATTTTCTATTCGAAATATTTTTTAGCCACTTCCAGATATCGAAACCCCCCAATTCAAATTTTATAAATTAAATTCGAGAATCAGTGATGAATGTAATCGAGACAAGCGCACAAATAAAAAAAAAAAAAACATATTCGTTCAAGTAGATGGACAAACCAATTCCGGCGATGAGGCAAGAAGTAGCGACAATAGGCTCTTGGACAACAAACATTCGCAGCTTTTGCATCACCGTCATCTTTTCCGATTTGATGATATGTACAAGATCGCCTCTGTAATTCGTTCAAGTTAATGGTAGCTCTGAAGAAACCGGACCTGTGAATTTGATAACGGGTTTGGGCTCTTTGTTAAACGGGCTTGACATTTATTGATGGGCTTTTATTAAATCCATCTCATTTTATTTTTTTGGAGGAGAATCTCATTTTTGATTTTTCACACTCAAACATACAGTATAGCAGATATTTAATCATGAGGAAACATATAGTATACTTCATCTAGTATTGTTTTAATAAATTATTTTAAGAGAAATAAAAGCAAAAGATCCATATCCAAACATCTGAGTAATAAATTAAAAACACAGAGAGGTATCAATCATCCAAGAAGCCCACAAAACCAGCATCTATATGTGTATGTATATATACATATGTAACACAAAGAAGTTTAATTTAATCCACTAAGCTGAAAATGTACAAGTACGAGGTGAATAAGTAATACAAAATCTAAAATTTACATTATGTCCTTGCTTTTATATGTACAACAAACCCTAAACAATCCAGAAAATCTCACCAGCAGGTTGGCAGCATCCAACCAATTGTCCATCCAAGTAATAATCCAGCACCAACAAGACCCAACCCTAATGCAAATACAATCGCATATCTTCCTACTTCATACCACGGTCGGCTTCTCTTGCCCCGTTTTGATCTATTCGACCCCTTTCGCATTTTCCTTGTTCTTACACTTTTCCCAGGCAACAACACTACTGTCTCGTGATGACTTTTGTTGTTGGATTGGAAATACATGTTCTCAAGCTGCAGAAGCTGAAGCCACTGCTTATACGCAAACAGCTGCGATGCTTGTCTGAAAACTAGCTTTACCACATGCTCTTTCTCCGCACAAGCTTGTTTCGCCACTTCTTCTGCTTCTCTCGCACGTGTCTGAGAATAACGCAATGCTTGTAGTAACTGAGCCTTGCTTGCATCATCAACGCCATCATCTTCCTCCTCCTCCTTTTCATGCATCTCAGGCATTCTTTCGAGTGCTGCCCTATCCCTAATCATTTCAAGATCTAAGCTTTATTCATAGTACTTTACTGTTCTGAAAGCAATTACAAGACAAACAAGATTTTACCTTAATGGCTTTCCAGCACCAGGAATTGATTGTTCTTCAGCTGACATACTAAGTTTGTGGCAAGAATTTCTCGAAGCAATAATGCCTGGCTTACGAACTGTTAAAGAAGTTGAAATATTCATACTCGTTTCCTTTTTGAGATGAGTGTTTTGAGGGCTGGGTAGGTCACAATTCTCTATAAAGTCATGGGACTTTTGTGCAACTAATAGAGCTAACTCCTCTGTATCTGCAGTTCTCCACCACGGGCTATTTTTCTCACCAGCTCCAATCCAAGAAGATTCCGAATAAAAACAATGCTCATTCGTATTTTTCGAAACTCCACAGCTAATAACAACACACTCATCTTTCGGTTCATCGAAGTAACGACCTTGGGGATTAATGTCGCAGAATGATCTAAACTTTTCTTCTTTAACTGTCGAATCTTTGCTCTCTCGAGCAACAAAGTTTCCATCTTTGATCTGACAGGTATCGATTTCATCGGTAAAACCCTTTTGACAAGGGTAATTTGGTTGGAGATGGAGCCACCATCTAGAATTGGGGGATAAATTAGAGTAGGAAGAGTTTCGATCGAAGGGATTAGAAGAAGCAGAGGGAGGAGGAATATCTTGGGGAGAAGGGGAAGTTGTGGGACCGGTATCGGAGGGTTTAGAACAAGGAGGGGGAAGCGATGAGGAGTAAGCTAATTTAGGAGCTCTTTTAGCATCTTCTTGGACCAAGCATCTGTTGCCAGTTCTCTGCCAAGCAGCCCTAGCTTCTGCTAGTGCCATTATATTACTCTTCCATTTCTTTTCTTTCTAAAACCTAATTTCTACATCCAAAGAAAAATCAGTTACAAATCGAAAATAAATAAAATTGGCATATGATTCAAAATACAGATCACATAGAAAATCCATAGCATTTTGATAAAAAAAAAATCCAGAAACAAGAAATTATTTGGCGTAAAGGTTGAATCTTTTGCCACCATATCAAGCAAAGAACAAATCATAAAATTTAATCAGTTAAAACATTTCTTATTACCTATATCAAAGTTTAATCCTTCAAGTAGTACCCACTACCCACTCCGAATTTATCAGGAATTAAGTAAACAAAAAAATTAAAAAAAAAATGAAAACAGAGTAATATACAGTGAATTTTCGCATCCAAGTTTGAAGCACATGGTACAGATCAAATAATCAATAACCCATAAATCCGTGGAATAAACATAATCACTAATCAAATAGGTTCTTGTAAAAAGAATCAACCTTAAAAATTGAAAAAATAAAAAACAAATGCTGGTACCAGTAAAACAGAGAGAGAAAACTGAGAAGAGAGGAGACCTGAAAATTGTGAAAGAAAACTGAACTGGGTTGGAGAAACAGAAATGATGATGATGATGATGATGATATTTCTTTAAAATAAACGCAATTTCCGAATTGCTTTTCCAGTTATGATGTCGGTTTTATTACATCCACGCTCTCACGTGCGACCCTAATTTTAACCGTTTCCTATTTCATACCATAATTCATCTTCAAAGTAAAGCAACAAATACAAATACAAATACAAATACAAATACAAATACATTCCCCCCGCAAACAAATATGGGTCAATACTAATTAATTAATTAATTCGAAGCAAGGGAAAATAAATATTGGGGCCACGCCACGCCACGCCACCTGTAATTGTGGAGTTTAGTACTAATTGATATTATTTTTTGGCGATAGAGATGAAATACTGAAATACATTTTGTAAATGAAAGCGACTATTACAAGCATCATCTTTGATTTGTCAAACTGCTCCATTTCCTACTTACCACTATACAAAAATCTAATCATCTATTTCGTTAATCAACCAAGTATTACTTTTTCAAATTAAGATGATCTAATAAAAGAATTATTGAAATTAATAAGGACAAAATATAGCATTTTAGCAGCCACGAATTATTATTATTTATGAATTACAGACAAGAGTAATATTTAAGTTACCATGAATGCATGTGAATTTAATTTAATACTCCATTCAAATAAGGGGCGGGGGCCACATGTTGGATAAGATTTCACACATTTTGTCCAATACACACATTATATTCACTCCTCTGATCTGGCACTCTTCCTAATTAATTAAGATATTCAAAATATTAATCATCCTAATATTAGTTTTAGATTAATTAAAGTTTGGAAAGAAATAATTTTTATTTATGTGCAATGATTACTCATTTAGTGATTGAGCGAGCGCTCTTCCTTGTTAATTATGGAATATTATATTTATAAAAAACGTAGAGTAATTATGTTGTGATGAATTAGCAAGTAAGACTGTATTTTAGGATTTCCTTCATTTTGAAATCTTAAATTAAACAAAGCAAAAGTAGAACCCCTCTCTCTCTCTCTCTCTCCTACGAAAAAGAAAAATGGGAACAATTTAGTACCAACCAAGAATCATATGAAACGTGTAATACAAATGGTGGAATTGTCAGCTTATTCAGCTAATGCATGAGGACACGTGTCCACAGTGTGACACAACTAATGGAACATTACCAAATTAAGAAGAAGAAAAAAAAGAGAGAAAACAAAATTGAAGAAAAAATAATAAAAATTCTACGATAATGGTATCATAATAATACAATTAAAATCATTTGTTTACAAGATCAGTCTATTAAGATCATTCAATAGAGAGAAAAGAAAAAATCAATGTAATTAATAGAAGAGCATAAGTAAGAATAGAATAAAAATAGAAGATTTCAAAAGAGAGTATCATGAATAAAATAATAATATTAGATGAATGAGTGAGCTTTACTTTTTCTTTACAGCTAATCCCATCCAATCCGCAATCCGCAAACAGAAGAACCGGCCGTTACAAATAATTAAAGCGCCATTGATATTATTCTCTTAGGTCCAATTCTTCCATACTTCAATATTCAATCGAAATCATTTTTTGTTTGATAAGAAAAAAGAAAAAAAGAAAAAAAGAAAAAAATGAATCGGCCCAAGGAGACGGCGGAGAACGGCGGTGGTGGTGGATTGGGCAAGTGTGAGAAGCTGGACCAGGTGGCGATGTGGGTTGGAACGAGCCTAGCGACGGCCTTCTTTGCTTCTCTGGAGAGGTGCAACTGCATCAACCTCTCCACTTATGATGAAGAAGATGATGATGACGAAGAGGCCTACCATCGCCCTCTTATGCTCACGCAACATCCTTCTTTCACCGCTGATTCCGATCCCGATCCACTACCGGAACACCACCACCACCACCACCGCCCCTGATGATGATAAGTGTCAACCTCCCTACATACATGATATACCAAAGTATAACTTTTGTGATGCACAATACATTATCTTGGAAATATTTTGTATGTACCTACCACTAGCATTTGTTTTTGAGGGTTTTCTTTCAAGGTGATTAGTGCCAGTTTGAATTTGGGTGACTTTTTTTTTGTTTTTTTCCCGCACATATGCATTAGTTCTAAAATGCAGATCAACTGGTATACTATGTATGTATTTATGAATCGGTGTGGCTTGGACAATCAATGACTTGAGTGGAAAAAACAACAAAATGAATGACATTTTGATATTCCACTTATGAATGTTGTAATAACTAATCAAACTGTTTGAGACAATTACTGTGATTAATTATAAAAAAAAATAGACTAAGGATTCACTTTTTCAGATGTCCATAGTTTGTTTATATCAGATGTAAACATTAATCTCTCATTGCTCTTCAAATTTAAGTAGTCAACCTGCAAAACAGACAGGTGTATATCTATCACCATACCAAAGCTATATATATATACATATATCAACAAAGGACAGAGAGGAGAGCTTCTGAACCTGGTCAGGGTCCAGCACGAGCAGGCAAAATGCGGCAACTGGTCCGATTGAAGGATCCAAAGAGGGCGTTTGAGATGGTGGTGGTGGTTCGATCACGGGCAATCTTGGAGAAGGTGCCATATACTGAAGTCTTGAATTAACAGAAGATGCAAACCAAGATTTCTGTCTTTGCTATACATTAGCATGCATACAAAACAAGAGAAATAAAATAGTAAGTGCAAGAGGCACCAAGAGAATCGATCATGTGAAATAATTAATGGTAGCTCTCAAAGACCTCAAGTTTCAATGGATCAGGATTTGTCCCGTCTATGACATCTACGGGGCCGCTAATTCGAAATTGCTCCCATGTTTCAGTGAAATACCAACATATCTAAAATCATCAACAAGATTTGAAGTTTGAAAGCACTTATTACAATGTACAACACTTGGTATTCAATCCTTTAAGGAAAACAACTGTACTGTACCTCAGCAAAAGAGGAGTGCTTGAGATCATCAATCTGCAATTATTTAAGTTAGTTTATGAAACAGCACTTAATTAGTATTCAAGTGTTGTCCTCAACTCCATTGATCATCATCATCATACAAGTTACAAAGTAATTGATCCAAAACCCAAATGGTACGGTCAAACAATTTGAAAGAAGGAAAAAAACCCCAAATTGATTCAGCAAATAAAAATCGGATCTTGCATACAAAAATGATGAGTAGCATGAATAAGAAAGTAGGGCAAAACATTTATGACCTTGCGAGAGCGAGTGTCGGTGTTAATAATAATCTTATCACTTCCATCCTGGAATCCTCTGAACAAGACGACACAGTAGTACTACAAGATTCAACATACTAATTTTTTTTGAAAAATATATATAAATATATATACTTTGATACGAAGAAACAAACCTGAAAACAACAGTGCGATTGGAGGGCCTGCCGTCGGATGAAACTGTTGCCTGACAGGAATAGAGAGCGAGCTTAATAAAAGAGAAATATATGACGTAATTATATTTCAATGAAATAAAATAAATTGTTTACAAGCTGGAAGTAAGAAGAATGCTTGAGACGGGAATTGGCTTGGATCGAGCTGAGAAGAAGCTGCTTCCATGGCGCCGAAGCCGCGGCGGAGGAGCTGCCCATTTGGATTTGGTGACGGAGCTTTCACCGGAATTCCCAAAATCAGGAATGAATCAAGGATTATTAGGCCCATGGGCCCACTTCTTTCCACATTTATTGGGCTTTCTTCGCCCCTTTTGATTGGGTTTTAACTTTTAATTAATTAAAAAGGACGTTCCTAACCCTAATTTAATTGATGACGTTTGTTCGAACTCTAAATAAATGTATGTATTAATCAATTGTTAAGTGTTAAATTAAATAAACAAATTTGTATTGTATATTAACTACTGTATGAAGGAAGCTTGGGGGCTACAATATTGGATGACGCAATGTTTTAGGTCGGGTGACGACATAAATGAGATATATAGTTTATTTAATACTCCATAAATTTGTAGGAAAGCAGTTAAACCTGACAGTGACGACAAGAGGAATTAAAACCATGGATTAGCATATGTATGCATGTATGTATGTAGTAGCAAAGCTATGGTCTGCGTCTGCGTGTGAGGGGCTGCCTGCCTAAAATAATTAGGTATCTCCTCCAATTCCAATTCCACAGACACAAGAAGATTGAGAGAGTACTTACAGCCTCAAATATTTGATTTTAGGAAAACAGCCATGCATGAATTGGTTTTACATGATTGATTGATTACCACATAATCACACCAAACCTAGCCAAAGACACAATCTTTGATAGTGATCATAATACCTATCTTTCCATTCTCCTACACCACACCTCGTACCCTTTTTCAACTCATTATTATATACGTATATAAATACAAGAAACATCATCTAATCAACAAAATCCATGTTTTGTTTGTTTCTTTCTTTCTTTCTCTCTCACACTACATGATCACTTGACTTCATATATAGGAGGTGGTGGTTGTTGTTTTAAACAATGGTGGTTAAGGAAAGTGAAGTGTGTGGTGGTGGGTTGGAATGGAGAATCAACTTTCCAGATGGGACTTCCAAAATATTAGTCCCTCATCATCATACCATATCCAAAACCAGATTTTGCAGAATTTTGCATGCTTTTTTTGTTGAGGGTTTGTTTTCTAAAATATATGGCTTCTTTCGAGAGGCTTGGAGATTAGGAATGGACGATCCTAAGAAGTTTTTTCATTGCTTCAAAGTAGGGATAGCCCTTTCTCTCGTCTCCCTTTTTTATTACATGAGGCCTTTGTATCAAGGTGTTGGCGGCAATGCTATGTGGGCTGTTCTTACTGTTGTTGTTGTCTTCGAATACACCGTTGGTATAATACTTACTCATGTGCTTCATTATCTTTTCAATTATTATTATTTACGTACTGCCGCCTATAATATATACTAACTATGCTCAATTGTCATATTAAAAAATAATGCAGGTGCAACACTCTGTAAATGTCTGAACAAAGCTACGGCAACTTTCTTGGCAGGCGCATTAGGTATTGGTGTTCATTGGATAGGTAGCCATTTCGGAGAAAAGCTCCAGCCCATATTCCTCCAAGGCTCCGTTTTCGTCTTAGGTTGGCTGTTTAAAAGAAAAAACAATCTTTCTTTTTCCTCAGCATTTTGTTCGATAAAATGATCACGACTAGATAGTTAGTTACCTTTGTATATTTTTGCAGCTGCTGCAGCAACTTTCACGCGATTCATGCCATCAGTAAAAGCAAGATTCGATTATGGGGTCCTTATCTTTATACTAACCTTTAGCCTGGTTTCGGTTTCTGGATTTCGTGTGGGGAAATTGTTCGAGTTTGCGAGTCATAGATTATCCACCATTGCAATAGGGACCTCAATTTGCATCCTCACAAGCATTCTTTTCTGCCCTGTATGGGCTGGAGAGGAGCTTCACAACCTTATCCAAACTAACATGGAAAAGCTTGCCGATTCTTTGGATGGTAAGACAATTTGATTTTTTTTTTATAGTATTTCATTGAAAAGAGAAGAGCGATTGATTCATTTTCTGATAAATAAAATGCAGAATGTGTGGCAGAATATTTCAGAAAGGATGCAAGGAGTGAAGCTTCCAACAAAATTTCGGTAGGGTACAGATGTGTGCTCAATTCAAGGGCAACTGAAGAATCATTGGTATTGTTTTCCTTGTTGATTCAGTTTAAAGTCAATGTCACCAAACACATGTTAGACATGCTTTTATTAGTATTATTATTAAGTTTCTTAGCACAAATTATGCATCTATTGCACAGGCTAATTTTGCCAGATGGGAGCCTGCACATGGTGGCTTCAATTTTGGACATCCTTGGAAAGAGTACCGCAAAGTCGGGGCTTCTCTCAGAAGCTGTGCTTATCACATCGAAGTCCTTAACGGTAGCATCAATGCTGGCACAAAGGTAACAAATTTATAACCACATTACTTATCAAATAAAGATCCGTTTTTTATTTTTTATTTTTCTTAATTATGGTGTTAAATTTTCGAAATTGGCAGGCACCCGATTTTCTGAAGAAGCATTTCAGCAAGTTTTGCATGAAACTGAGCTCTAGTTCGTCAGCCGTGTTGAAAGAATTGGTTTTTGTCACCCATACAATGACAAGATCAGCAAAGATAGATATCATCGTTGAGGAAATGAGGAGTGCAGTTGAAGAATTACAGATTGTACTGAAATCCCTAATTACACAGCCAATTAATGCATCAACTAATATCAATATTGGGAACGAAGAGTCAGATGCAAGTAACACTAGTATGTCGCTCATAGAAATAGCTCCATTAGTCACGTTATCATCTTTGTTGATAGAAATTGCAGCAAGAACAGAGGATATTGCAAAGGCTGTTAATGAACTGGCAAACTAAGCATAGTTCCACAACTTTTATGTCATAAGTCAGATTAGTGGAGAGATTTAACCACGGGAATCCTAGGAAATGTCCGAGCTTGTCACAGCATCTGATTTTGTATGTATATTTGTGTGTGTGCGCGTCTTGTTCATGAATTCATGCAAGAACTATAAATAAATGAAGAAATATTTTTGTATATGTAGACTGCTGCAGTAATATACCAGATCCCATGATTGGAATTTCACCTGAGCTGCACAACTTTTGTCGACTCGCAAGAACATTTTGATGCATTACACGGTGATAGGCGTACCATTTGGCTAAACAAATTTGATATATTGTCACATGGATCAATGCACATCAAAAGGCACATTATCGTTCGGTGATCAAATTGAAACTCCAACAACAGAGAACATACCATTTTTCCAATAAAATAAAATTTCAAATTTATGGATACATAACCAGAAGTTTCATCTTATAATGACATTTTGTGCAGCTACTACATCTTCATTACGCCTCAAAACAAAGTTTCCTGCCAAATCCTCGACAGCTACCTTGACAACATCAGTTCTAACACCAATATCAGTAGCATATCTGCTAATGCAGTACATACCTGCAGTAACTGTAGCAACTCCAACTGGACTGGGTAGTAGCAACTTGAGAGGGGAAGAAAGAAGAGCTGCCAAAGGTGCACCAATCACAGAAGAAGCTTGTCCGCTCCGTCCCACACCGAGCCTATCAACGGTCAAGAGTCCCGTTTTACAGTACAAAGCAAAGTCCTCGCAGTTGTTCTGAAAAACATCGTAGTTTCCAAATCCTTTTTGAAGGAGAAACATTGTTCGATGAACAACTGTGTCGGAGGAATCAGATGGAGCGGTTGTGCATGTGCCTCCACGTACTTTAGCTATGAAAACAGAAGGGGCCACTCCATACTCGAAGCAGTAAAGGGAAGCGTTACGGAGGAAGCAAGATAGACAAGAGAGGACAACTCCACTGTTGGGCTGTCGGAAACCACAGTCGGGAAATGTGGGACATTCTGTTGTGTGATTGTATGATTCATTTACCACACGGGTGAAATGAACGACTTTGCTACCCCCGACAAAGATTCCTGCATTATTCACAATGGTGAATGTGTAACCATGCATGATGTAGTCCAAATCATTCGACTAACATACAATTTCTTGTCTTCAGAAAGCTAATGAGCAAGATTATGATCGGAAAAGTGAATTGTTCTTCTCTGTCTGTAAACTAGATCAATGAACATATACCAAGAAAGTGTTTGTGTATGCCTGATATTCTTACTTGCTGTGTGTACAAAAAAAACATGATTTATGGTATCATAGGTTTGATGGGAACTGCCTAGTTTTACTCATTAGTTGACCACAATTACTAGAAGAAACATTTTGGGATCTCAGCAAAACCCGAAAACTGGGGAACTGAAATGGTAAAATTGCAATGTACCCATAAATAAATCAGAAAGCAAATAGAGCCCACAGAGCAGAGCAGCTTTCAATTCATCCATGTGCAAGAAGATAACAATCATTACAGAAATTAAAAAAAAAAAAAAAAAAAAGGGGGAGAAAAACCATGATGGGAGTAAGCAAAGACAGCTCTGTAAGTGTAGATATGATCTCCAGGCTTGATCTCATTCCTCTGCACTCTGTTCGAGATCAGACCCATCTCCGCTCTTTCTCTCAATCTATGTATGTATGTGTATGTATTTCACAAAAAAGAAAAAGATTGGATTTGATTCTTATATGATTGGCTCATCAACAACAACTGTTTTTAATAATATAATTAATAATAAATTTTGTAAAAAGATGTTTGGAAGAGAAAACTGTTCTTCATTGAGTCACAACCCGTATATATACATGAGCAAGAAAGAAATCCTAAACACCTACAACTCCTACCATAGCTAGAAGATTATATTCCTATATAAATTAACTACCTAATATAATATAATCTTACGTATCTACACAATATCGTATCTAAATCGTATCTCAATACTCCCCCTCAAGTTGGCGCATGAAGATTGTGAATGCCCGACTTGCGAAGAAATTGATCAAATTGAGGTTTACCGAGTCCCTTGGTCAAAATATCGGCCAGTTGTTCATGCGTGCGCACATGTGACATAGCAATATTTCCATTCCGGACCTCATTGCGAACAGAATGACAATCGATCTCAATATGTTTCGTTCTTTCGTGGAAAACCGGATTGGCAGCGATATGCAACGCGGCTTGACTATCACAATACAAGTGCATTGGATTGGCATGCGAAATACCAAGAAACTTCAAAATTTCCTTCAACCATTTCAATTCGCAACAGGTTGTGGCCATTGAACGATACTCGGCCTCAGCCGATGATCGGGAGACAGTATGTTGCTTCTTCGTCTTCCAGGCGACAGGTGATCCACCCAACATCACAAAGAAACCCGTCAACGAGCGACGCGTCAATGGACAACTACCCCAATCCGAATCACAGTACCCATACAAATGCAAATCGCTATCGGAACGCAGTAACACACCTTGTCCAGGACGCCCCTTCAAATAGCGTACGACACGCAAGGCAGCCTCCCAATGATCTTCTCTCGGATTCTGCATAAACTGGGCCAAAGTATGCACACAATAACTAAGCTCTGGCCTGGTTATCGTCAAATAAATCAGCCTACCGATTAATCGCCTATATTTCTCTGGAGCAGTCATAAGAGGTTGTTCCGATAAGGCGAGACGATGATTTTGCTCGATCGGAATAGAAGCTGGTTTGGCCCCTAACAGCCCGGTTTCAGCGACAATGTCCAGCGCATACTTGCGTTGACACAAAAAAATTCCCTCTGAGCTACGGCTTACTTCAATCCCGAGGAAATATTTAAGTACACCCAGATCTTTCATATGGAAACAACTTCCAAGGTACTTTTTGAGATGATTCACGGCCATAGAATTATTCCCAGCAATGACTAGATCATCAACGTATACGAGCACACTCAAGCGAATAGCATTGTTATGATATGTAAAAAGCGAGTAATCTGAATACGATTGAATAAAACCGTATTTTTTCAAAGTCGTTGCCAATTTTGTAAACCAACACCGCGGAGCCTGTCTCAACCCATAGAGCGATTTCTTTAGTTTGCACACCTTTGTTTGATCAGCAGAAGGGTTTTGTCTCAACCCATAGAGCGATTTCTTTAGTTTGCACACCTTTGTTTGATCAGCAGAAGCGAACCCTGGAGGTAATTTCATATACACCTCCTCACTTAAATCACCATGCAAAAATGCATTATGTACGTCCATTTGGTGGAGTTCCCAATTTTTCGCTGCAGCTACGGCCAAAAAAATCCTCAAAGTTACCATTTTCGCCACCGGCGCAAATGTTTTGTTGTAGTCAATTCCTTCTCGTTGGTTGTTCCCAAGTATAACCAAACGGGCCTTGTACCTCTCAATGCTCCCATCAGACTTGTACTTAATTTTATATACCCACTTCGACCCTATAGCCTTCTTACCGTAAGGTAGAGTCTCCAACGTCCAAGTCCCATTATTTTCCAAAGCTTGTATTTCTGCTCTCATAGCTTCCCTCCATTTTTTGTCTTTTAGTGCTTCAGAGAACCGAGTGGGTTCGAAGCCTGCATCAATCTTAGCCACGAAAGCTCGATGCCTAGCAGAAAATTTATCACACGTTACATAATTACCTATGGGATAAAGAGTAGTACCTGAGGGTCCTTTGGGAGAGTCGGGTGTCGTGCATACGGGGTCATAAGAGCATCGAGCGTTATATGTGACAAAGTCCTTCAACAGAATAGAAGGTTTGGGATCTCTACAGCCTCTTCCCAAACGCTCAAGTGTGGGCTCAGTTGCCGTTACAACCGCCACTTCTCCTATTTCCCCGGCGCCATGGTGCACTACTGTATCTTGAACTTCAGCCGTGGTACTCCCCCTCACGTTGTGCGCGTTACTACCCAACTCATTCAAGTCGTCGTCAACAAAGATGTCGTCGAACTGCTGAAACGTGTTATCAGATTCGAGTGAGACGGGCGATGCAAAGGGAAACACATGTTCTGTAAACACCACATCACGAGAGATTAAAAACTCTCCAGATTCTATGTCATACACTCTCCATCCTTTCTTGCCGTGAGGATAACCCAAAAAAATGCATTTTCTACTTCTTTCCCCAAATTTATCTTTGCCTCGATCAACCCGATGGGTATAGCAAAGACAACCAAATGTTCGCAAGAGCTTGTATTTTGGTGGTTTTCCAAACAACAACTGATATGGAGTTTTGCCGCCAAGTAACGAGGAGGGAGTTCTGTTTATTAGATAACTTGCAGTCATGATACACTCGCCCCAAAATCGAATAGGCAAATTTGCCTGAAAACGCAAAGCTCGAGCAACATTTAGAATATGTCTATGTTTGCGTTCCACACGACCATTTTGCTGGGGTGTCCCGACACACGACGTTTGGTGGATAATTCCATGTGTTTGAAAGTACGATTTCAAGCACAAGAATTCGGTTCCATTATCACTTCGAACAGTTGAAACTTGCTTCTTAAATTGACGCTCAACCATAGCACAAAAATTTTTAATTGTTTGTTCAACTTCTTTCTTTTCAATTAAAAGATAAACCCACACAGCTCGCGAAAAATCATCGACAATTGTCAAAAAATATACTGCCCCCCAAGTTGCGGGCGTCCTATAAGCACCCCATAAATCAACGTGAATCAAAGAAAAACTATCAACGGCTTTATTATCACTCGCAGGAAAAACATCTCGGGTTTGTTTTGCTCGAAAACAAATATCACAATGATCTTGATTGTTGCTACTACTAATACTATTAACTACTGGAAGAAAGGAAAATATCTGCTTGGACGGATGCCCGAGTCGTCGGTGCCACAATTCCTGCTCATCTAATCCACTAGCTTTACAGGCTCGTGCCGGTGTGATTGCTCTAAAAAGATAGACCCCGTAGCACTGCTCACCCGCTCCAATCAGGATCCTCGAGGTGCGGTCCTGTATCACGCATAATTCATCAGTAAAGGTGACAATGCAATTCAATTCTTTCGTCAATTTTGATACAGAAATAAGAGTGCAATTCATGGACGGAACAAATAGAACATGATGCAAATAATGATGATTTCCTAGCAATATTTTTCCTTCTTTCAAGGCAATCGCATCTTTTCCATTTGGAAGCTCCACCGGAACTGGTGTTATCTCATACGAGTCGGACAATAATTCTATGTTTCCCGCCATGTGATGCGAGGCCCCCGAGTCTATGACCCATTCATCAAATATTTTCTTACCAGAGAGTCGCTCCATGCCACCTTTATTTGCATTAATCATCTCAAGTAAAGTTGCCCATTGATCTCCGCTGAGTTCGGTGAATGCGCGAGGATCTGAATCAGAATGAGTACCATGCCTTTGAGCCTCGGTTTCTGAAGACATACGAGTTACATTCACTCTTGCACCGCCTCCTCTGCCGCGCCCAAATTGTCATGCTCCTCTTCCTCGAATTTGGCCTATGTCATTTGTTCGAGCCCTATCTCCCCACCACTACGGATACCCAACGATTTGGTAGCACGTCTTGGCATCGTGCCCATGTTTTCCACAATGTCCACATAACCCTTGTTTCTCTTTTCCGCGAACAGCCATTATCTTTGTGTTTGACCCCAGTTGAGCATCGAAACACACTACATCTCGACGTTCGTCGCCACTGCGGGCAATACTCCGATGTCGTTCCTCTTGAATGATCATAGCGTATGCTCTATTAATATTAGGCAATGGTTCCATGCTTAAAATATTAGAGCGAACCGTTCCGTACACCACGTCGTCAAGGCCCATCAAAAATTGATGAACCTTCTCCTCATCTCGCTTCTTCTCAAGTATTTCAGAGATACCGCATTTACAACCGCTACACTTACACGAAGGTATCGGTTCGTAATTCACCAATTCGTCCCACATCATCTTCAGTCGTCCGTAGTATGCCACCACTGCTTGCCCTTGTTGTTTACATGCAGCAAGATCAGCCTTCAATTGATGAACTCGAGGTCCATTCCCGATTGAAAAACGTTGGTGGAGATCATCCCACAAGTCTTTTACGTTTTCCATATAAGTGATGGTAGACCTCAACGATGGTTCGATCGTATTAAAGATCCAGGCAACCAACATCGAGTTCACCATCCACCAATCTTCCATCTCCGACGAATCGTCCGCTGGTTTCTCCAACGTCCCATCGATAAATCTGAGCTTTTTCTTTGCTCGAAGCGAGTTGCGCATCGACCTCGCCCATTCCTCATAGTTCTCCCCTCTCAATTGAACCGGCGAGATTAACGATCCAGGATTATCGGAAGGGTGAAGGTAGTATGGCGAAACAACCATCTGTCCCTTGCCGGATCCCTCTCCAGCCGTCGTCGTGGTCTTCTCGTCGCCGCCTGTCATCTCACCGTTTCCAGCGTTTTTTTTTTTTTTTTTTTTTTTTTTTTTTGGTTATTGTACGTTTGGCTCTGATACCATGTAAAAAGATGTTTGGAAGAGAAAACTGTTCTTCATTGAGTCACAACCCGTATATATACATGAGCAAGAAAGAAATCCTAAACACCTACAACTCCTACCATAGCTAGAAGATTATATTCCTATATAAATTAACTACATAATATACGTATAATATAATCTTACGTATCTACACAATATCGTATCTAAATCGTATCTCAATAAATTTATTAATGCCAACATGATGGATGCTCTGGGCTTTCTTGGCTTCTTCTCTCTCTCTTTCTTTCATTTTGCTTGGAGTCGTCGTCGTCGAGTTATCAGTTCCGGTGGCTCTTATTTCATTTTTTCGAGAAATAAAAGGAAAAAAAAATAATAATTAATAAATGCGGTGAACGTGGATCGAACACGTGACCTTCAGATCTTCAGTCTGACGCTCTCCCAACTGAGCTATCCCCGCTTTTGCACAGTAACAAAGTATATACAAGAATTGTTGATTGATTATGATTTATGTGCTATCACCGGTATTATACAGTAACAAACTTACATACCAAATCTTATTAACAAGCATGATTATGTGGACCCGACTAGATTGACTAGTTGTTCATGGTGATTATTACTTCCTCTCTTCCCATTTGATAATTAATAATGAAAATCATAGGCCACCATCACTACCTATAGATATATTATCCAAGGAAAAATAAAATAGCCTCAATTATTTTCCAGCGACTTGAGGTGTTTACTTTTAAAAACATTGATAAGTTAAATGCCAATGCGGGGATAGCTCAGTTGGGAGAGCGTCAGACTGAAGATCTGAAGGTCACGTGTTCGATCCACGTTCACCGCAATTAATGGTTTTTTCCTTTTTTTTTTTTTGTCTGTCAATTTGTTGATTTGTTTGAAGAATCAGAATTAGAGGGTTATTAGATTTAGTAGTCCCCACCGTACAAGTGTCTGTTTCAGCCTGACTCTTCGGCTGCTGCTTTCACCGAATTAATTCATCTATTCCTCATCTCCCCCTTTTTCTTTTTCCCCCAATTATTATTTTTATTAGGTTAATTTGCTTTTATTGTGTCTCAGTTTCTCCTCCGACATACCAAAACATTGTATTCACCAACCCCCACATTCATATTGAATCCAAAAACATAAATAAAAATTGATCTTTTTTCATCCCAGATAGAGAAAACAAATACTATGATTAATTTTTTGATCGAATTGGTGTTAATTTCATGAAGCCAATGAATGATTATCGTAGCTTAATTACGTATTAGCGTCAGAATATAAGGTGTTATGGAAATTGGGCCTATGTTGATGACGCGAAACCTGTCTTCCTATTCGTCACAACACCGATCTGTCTGCAAATTAGATTCAGAATCATTATTATCTTCCAAAAAACATTCGTTTGTACATGTCAACATCGCCAATGCCGATCGGAAATGTCGATCCCGAATCAGCCGCACGCGATCGCCATCGTTGGATTCTTATTGCATTCCTTCAGATGTCTTTTTCGACCAAGAATCACAAACCCGTTTTTACAGGAATGCCCTTCTGTGATTCGTAGGCCACCGCCACTCTTTTTTCTCATTGGTTTGTGGCTCATTTCTGCTTCTGCTAATTTTATTTGGTTGTCCTTTTCCTTGTTTTTGCTGCTGCCGCTGTTGTTGTTCTTGTTGTTTATGACCGGAATGAGTTCTGGTGCGGGCTTTGGATTGGCTCGTTCTACAGGAGATGGAAGTGGAAGTGGGTATAAAAATGGGAATATGTTAGGTTTTCCATTGACTCGAGGTAGTTATGATGAGGCTCATGATCAAGAGGTTAATTACGTGGAGAAATGTCTCAAAAACCGACATGTTCGGGTATATTTTCTTCTCTTTTTTTTATTGGGATTTGTGACAGTGATAGTTTTGTTATTGTTTCTGGTATTGGTTTGAATGATGTTCTTATAGTTACTATCATTTGTTGATTTCATTCCATGCCCTGAGATCTTATGACTATGATTTGTTTGTCTGTTAATATTTTGTTTTAAATTTTTTATGGTATTATTCTTCTTGGTATTTAATGTTACCATTACAGGATGTTAATTGATATTGATTTTGTTTTGCAGTACAATGAAGTTTTAGGCAAGGGCGCATTCAAGACTGTGTATGAATTTGTACCTTGCCCTTTTCTTTTCGCTTCTTTTATCATCTTGTACATTTTATCAATTAACTGTCGAATTATTAATCCATTTGTTTATTCTAGGTACAAAGCGTTTGACCAAGTTGATGGGATAGAAGTTGCATGGAACCGAATCAAACTAGATGATGTGTTGCGGTCACCTGAGGATTTGGAAAAATTGTACTCCGAGGTTCATCTTCTTAGACAACTGAAGCATGAAAACATTATCAAATTCTATGATTCTTGGATCGATGAAAAAAGGAAGACCATTAACATGATCACAGAGCTTTTCACATCTGGGAGCCTGAGGCAGTGAGTATCTTCTGTTTTTCTCATACTTTGTGGATATGAATTTTTGTTTATTCTACAGTTTTGGCTGTTAGGTACCGGAGAAAGCACAAAACTGTTGATATGAAGGCTATAAAGAACTGGTCTAGGCAGATTCTCCGAGGTTTAGACTATCTTCATAGTCAGAACCCGCCTGTCATTCATAGGGATCTCAAGTGTGACAATATTTTTGTTAATGGAAATCAAGGAGAAGTTAAGATTGGTGACCTTGGATTGGCAACAATCCTGCAGCAACCTACTGCTAAAAGTGTTATTGGTATAAAGTTGTTGTTAGCACTTGTTAAAATAGAATAACATGAGTAGTATTTTATTCCTTTTCTGCTCTTCCATCAGGAACCCCGGAATTTATGGCTCCAGAGCTTTACGAGGAGGAATACAATGAACTCGTCGACATATATTCCTTTGGACTGTGCTTGTTGGAAATGGTGACTTTGGAATATCCTTATTGTGAATGCAAAAATCCAGCTCAAATTTATCGGAAAGTTACATCGGTAAGTTTGCTAGTTTCCATATTGGCTACAAATGATATGTGTCTGTCATCTTAAACACATTTTGTATGGCAGGGTGTTAAACCTGCTTCTCTTGGCAAGGTGGCTTCTCCTGAGGTCAAAGAATTCATTGAGAAATGCTTGGTTCCAGCTTCTCAAAGGTTGTCCGCTAAGGAACTTCTTAAAGAGCCCTTTCTTCAAATTGAGCACTCAGAAGTACCTACTCGTGATTCATTGCGAATACCTAATGAAGCACCTAGATTTTTAAGTTCATCCAATTCCGGGTCTCGTTCTATGGACATAGATCATGAATATAACCAGTCTGTCTGTGCAGAATACAATTATGGAGGTTCTTGTTCTTTAGTGTTGGAGTTTAAACGGTTACATCTGAACAATGAGTTTAGATTGAAGGGGAAGAAAAACGATGACAACTCGGTCTCATTAACCTTGCGGATTGCAGATCAAGGAGGTAAGTAAATATGTTGTTACTGTAGCAAACTAACTAGCATCGATAAAAATAATCTTCCTTTTTTTGTTATTGCAGGCCGAGTTAGGAACATACACTTTTTGTTTTACCTTGATTCAGACACGGCACATGCTGTTGCAGCCGAGATGGTTGAGCAGCTAGATTTAGCAGAACACGATGTAGCTTTCATTGCTGACTTTATTGATTTCCTAATTATGAGAATTTTGCCCGGATGGAAGCCTTCGTCTGATTGTTGTCACTCGAGTGGGGGAAGAAGTGCGAGTGGGCTAACATTGATGGGCGATCAATGGGAGACGCCCTTGTCTGGCAGTCCATTACCATTAATGGTCAAGCAAGATGATGCGTATGAGTACCATATTGATCCTCGTACTTTTGTACCAACTGCAGCCGATGGAAATAGCTTACATGGGAACTCCAATTTTGCATCTCCCCATCTTACATTTATTTTATCTCCATGTTCGAATAACTTGTCATACGGATCAGCTACTTCTGAGGTTGTCTTTGGTGAAGACTGTTTGAGAATGATTGAGATGTGTAAAGGTTCGAGTGGTGAAGTCTCTGAAATGGAGTTTAGGGATCTGTATTATAACGAAAGTAGAATGCACGCAACTGAAAGTGGCAATGTTGAATGTCCCCAAGAAATGGTTTCCAAAAATGTGGGGAGACTAAAAACAAGCAGCTCGACTTTGGTAATAAAAGATCCGGAGACAGAGCTGAAGTCGGAGCTTGATGCAATAGAAATACAATATCAGCAATGGTTTCAAGAACTTTCAAGGATGAAGCAAGAAGCGGTGGAGGCCACCAAGAAAAGATGGATGACCAAAAATAAAGTGGTGGTTCATTGAGCTGCTACTGCTGTTTGTCTCTCTCCCTGCCCATGTCCAAGTCTTTTTTTTCTTTCTCTTTTATTTTTTAGTTGAGGACTTAATTCTTTGTTTTCTAATTCTTTGTTGTTTTTGGGTTGCTTTGTGTTGTAACTATGGAACCTCGTTAATTGGATGTGGCTTCCGATGCAGAACTAATCATCTCTTGAAACCCAGGTGAAATGGCTCTTTTGTACATAACTATTGACTTCTGAATATATTTCCATTTCATTGATCAAATTGTTTCATTTGTATTAAATTCTGGTGAGGGCTGAGTAATGCAACACTCAGTTTTAATTGACTGCTGTTTTTAATGAATATCCGAATACAATCATAAATAAATGGGGTGGGTCTGTTTGTAGTGCTTTTTCTAATTAAGCTTTCATGCTATGGAAAACGTATTGTACATCCACATATTGTTTTTCATTTCTTTACTTTTTTTGGGTGGTGTTGGTTCTATACGCATAGACCATATATTTTAATGCCACCCTTCCATGTAAGAAAGAGGTGGTCTTTGATGAATCTGTCATTTTCAGAGCCATATATTTTTCTTTCTTGATTAAAACATCATAATATATCTATCTATCTTGTTTCGAATCATCATCATCACTCATCAATATTTTATTATAATTGCACAAAAATGTGTCATCATTTGTTATTTCTTGTAAGAAGATTAGTTAAGAAATAAAGAGCCATTTTGCTTTTGATTCTCGAATGGGGGATTTGATTGGTCCAAGGTTGTACAGTTGCTACAATTGCAGAAACCATGTTGCTCTTCATGATGATATCGTTTCTAAAGAGTTTCAGGTGATGAAACTGTTGCTCTTCTTTTTCGAATTAATTTATTGATTTTATAAAGCAGTTGTTGATCTTGTTATGTTTGATGAATGAGTAAGTTATATATAGTTGCATTAAAAGCAGAGTGAGTGATGAATGATGATGATCAGTAGTTTTTGTCCATGGGCAGTCACAAAAGGGAAGAGCGTATCTATTTTCACACGCAGTGAATGTGTTTACGGGAAGGAAAGAAGACAGGCAGCTGATGACAGGTATGCACACGGTGGCAGACATAAACTGCAGGGATTGCAAGCAGGTTTTGGGTTGGATGTATGTCAAAGCCTACGAGGATTCTCAAAAGTACAAGGAAGGTAAAGTCGTGCTCGAAAAGTATAAGATTATCAGAGAAAATTAAATCATCTGCTGTGTGAGTGTGATGGATAAAGATTTGAGTTTGTATGATGGATGTACAAGTAGAGAGAAGAAAGGGATGCTTGCTTCTTACAAAGATGTCAACTCTTAAATGTTATCTATCTTCTGTTGTGTATTGTAAACTTGTTGAATAACAACTAGTAATTGTAACCGTGCGATGCACGGGACAACAAATTGCATTGTCTTGATGTTGTAAGAATAATGTATTCGTATGATTAAAATTCTATTATACTGGAACATTATTAAGTATACTACACAAAAAAAAAAAAGGAAATAACTTTACTGTTGAATAATTTTCCAAATGAATTGAATTAGGTAATATCAGTAGATTGAAAATTTGAACCAGGAAAAAAATCATCAACTTTGTCTTTCATGTTGAGCTTAAAAGTAATTAGATTTAATAACTTAGTTAACATAATCAAAACTAAACTATTGACAACATACCATCGTAAGGCCATCTATACATCTTGCATCGGAACTAAGCCCTTCTCCACTGCCTTATTTTAAGGCTGTTTTGCCACTGGAATTAACAATTGGAAAATTAAGAAACAAAAATAAATATAAACAATAAATTAAATATCGCATACAAACAATAAGTCTTGAAGGTCGACTTCCAATAGCTTGTGGCTCCGCCCATTTTTGGTTAATTCTCTCAAATCATCCCTTTCAATAATATGTCCAATAACATATAAAATGAAATAATTGTTATACATAAAATTTGATAATTTTGGTATAAATTAATGAAACACATAATTTAACAAAATGAAATTACCTATAAGCCATGATGGAAAAATATGTAAACTAATTGCCACACAGTCAATAGGATGAAGAAGAAGATAAGAAACAAAATTTAAAGTCGGGTTACAAAAAGAAGAAGCCTTAGGTAGGGAAGAAATAAAATACAAATGTTGCAGACATTCTGTAAAACGATGTCACAAAATCCGCTAGGGATGAAAATCAGATTTATTACCCTTTTCTGTAAAAATCGAAAATCAGATTATTATAAATAATATCTAGGAGAATTTGATGAAAATCGATAATAATATTTAAAATAATAGTTAGGAGATAAAAAAATGATAAAAATCGAAAATAATATTTCAAATAATGCTAATGAGATAAAAGTTGATAAAATATGAAAATAATAATTAGAATAATATTTAGGAGATAAAATATGATTAAAATCAAAATTATTATTTAAAATAATATTTAGGAGATAAAAAAATGATAAAAATCGAAAATAATATTTAGGAGACAATAATCTGATAAAAAACGAAAATAATATATAGGAGATAAAAAAACTAATAAAAACATGATAAAACTCGAAAAAATATTTAAAATATTATTTAGGAGATATAAATTTGATAAAATTCGAAAATAATATTTAGGAGATAAAAGTCTGCTAAACGTTGAAAATTATATTTAAAATTATAGTTAGGAGATATAAATTTGATAAAATTAAAAAATATTATTTATAATAATATTTAGGAGATAAAAATTTGATAAAAATAAAAAATAATATTTAGGAGACAAAAATCTGATAAAAATAAAAAATAATATTTAAAATAATATTTAGGGGATACAAGTATGATAAAATTTGAAAATCATATTTAAAATAATATTAAAGAGATAAAAATTTGATAAAAATTGAAAACAAATTACAAATATGACATTAGGGTTTCTTAGGTTGCCCTAGCGTTTCTTTCTTTTATTTTATATATATATATAAGATAATATATTAGTTACCAAATATTGTCAGCAATCAAGATAAACAACAAGCCAATACTTAAATCAGAATCACAAGTATAATAAGTTAGGCATTTCATAATTTTCATTAGTAGAAGTAGTGTCCTCCAATTGGACCTTGGATTTCACCAAAGCCCGTTGGGCCTTTTTCTAATTTCTACATGAAAATGTGACCAACGCCCAGTAAGATAGGAGTGAGTGAGTAATTCAAAAGAGAGAGGAGACAGCTCAACAAGCGCAATCATGCATTCTTCATCATCATCACCAGACATCCAATTATGAATGTAGGCCCTTTTCTTTTCCTTTTCCTTTTTCTCTTTTTTTTTTTTTTTTTAAATAAAAAATAAAAAATAAAAAATATCCCAACTGCATGCATATGTAATGATGACTATTACTCTTCTTTCCCTTTTTAATCTTACTTGTCCCACCTATAATTAGTAGTTGTTTACTACTACTATTTCATATCTCTTTCTTTTTCAACACATCATTATACTAATTTTATTATTATGCAACTAAAAGTACCATTTTCACTATACAATATCCAATTTTCCTATAATTAATTGCTTGTCATTTTTTTTTTTTTCAAACAAAGGAAACGAATAATAATAAAACACAAATTCTATTAGCCTATTAAACGAAATTACTTTTCTTTTTAGACAACATCTGTCACCGTTGAATCATTTCTGAATCATGTTGATCCAACGATCCAGGTGTTCTGCAGCTCTTCAACCTCAACAGTCCATACAATTTTCGGAACTCCTTCGGCACTGCCTCCTTCCACGCGCCGCCACCCCCTTCCTCCGATACAGACCCCGGCGCCGGAGACGATGCCGTGCTATCGCTCGCCCGCGCTGCCACCTTTCCTCCTCCGCCGTTCCGGCTGTTCGATTGTAGAGCGGATATCACCGTCTTCAACGCACGGCTGGGTGAGCTCCGATTCACCAGCATCAACTCGCTGATCTCCGCCGGACTCATGGTAGCGCCGCTCTGAAATATTCCTTCCACTTGCGTGAACAATTTGTGCTCCTTCACTCCCAGATAATTGTTGGCCAGATTTTTGAAGGAATTGAAATCGCACATCGGAAAATGGATGTGCATATCGATTCTCCCAGGACGCAAGAGTGCTGAATCGATTCCTTCTTTGTCGTTCATCGTGAAAATCATAATTCTCTCATCCTCCGAATTCAACAGCCCATCCATGAAATTCATCAGACCGGATGACGTAATCCTCGACCTCGATCTGTCCGACACATAACGATCTAAATCCTCGACGACGATCAGAGATTTAGGCGCCGTTTGCAACAGAAGGCCGTTCAGATCTGATTCATCGGCCACTTGTGACAAATTGACGTTGTAGACATCGTAGTTGAGGAGATTGGCCGCCGCCGCGATGAAACTGGATTTCCCCGTACCGGAGGGACCGTAGAGGAGATAGCTCCGCTTCCATACGCGGCCGAGTTTGTGATAGTACTGCTTCGATTTCTGAAACATTTCCAAATCGTTGCGTATTTTGGCTTTCACGTCTGGGTCGATTACGAGCGAGTCAAAACTCGCCGGGTGATTGAACAGAACCGATTTCCATCTGCCGTTGCTTCCGTTATTGTAAATCCTCAGTTCTTTCCCCCTCTGCTCGATATCGTCGGAGACTGTGTGTATGTGTTGAAGATAGGGTTTCAGTACCCTCCGCTTATCCCTTTTTTTGATTCTCATGACGAAATTCCGAGAAACAACCTGGTTCCGGGCGTCTCTTTCGATTTGATTGACCCATGAAATTCGAGCTCCGAGGAAGACTTCTTGGATGGACTGATTGTCGTCGAGGGAGAGAAGTATGTCGTTGGGCTTTCTGCCGGAGAAGAGGTTGGTGAAATCGGAATCTTCCAAGGAAGCCAAGGAGTTGACGTAGAGAGAAACTCGGCGGTAGAACAGGTTTTGTTGTTGGGTGGAATCGTTCAACTCGGGGACTCGAAAGTGCTGGTGGACATGAACTCGGTCTTCAACCCACTCACCCCATTTTCTGACGACATATATAAGAGCAGTACGATGTAGAAACAACCGGACTATAAACATTAAGCATACGATCAAGAAACATATCAACAACAAGTTTATCACAAACAAAGGCATGTATATATATATATGTACACACACAAACACAGAGACAACAATTGGTGAGTTTTCTTTTCTTCTTCACAGTTTTGTGTATCTTGCCCTTGTTGGAAAGAATGAATGAATGAATGAATTGGGAGAGAGAGAGAGAAAGTGGAAGAATATGAAGTTGAATGAATGAAAATGAAATAGAGGAAGGAAGGAAGGAAGAGTTGTAGTTGTAAAGTGGTTATTTGCTGGCAAGAAAATTAAAGGGAGTAGGACGACTCTGAATAATGAATATATAAAAAGTAAAAACTTAATTTGTTGTGCTAATATCTTTTTTGATATTGTTTTTTGTGTGATTTATATAAATGAGAATAAAGTGGGGTGTTTTTTTTAATTTATAGTAGTGGAGGTTGGTCCCCTATCACTCTCTATGTATACGTTTCTCCATCGTCGTTCCTAACTGCACTTTCCAGCCAAGAAATTTTATTTTGAAAATTTCATTTTTCATTATTATTATTATTATCACAGCCCTACATTTTATTATTATATATAAATATTAAAAATAATAGGTGGTACGCGGCATTGATGTTTGATTGGGCTTTATTAGCAGCTATGCATACAACTGCAAGTGGGTTTTGTTGATGAATCCAATAAAAGGTTGATATCGATTTCCACCCCATTTTTCAAACTCAGCTTGTTTCATTAATTTTGTTTTAATTAACTCACTAATCTCTTTTCCTTGACCATATATTATTATTATTATTAGGTAAAACAGGAAAACAAACAATCCAGATCCTCATCCACAGGATTGTGATTGTAATTGTAATTGTAATTGTAAATAAATATATGAAACAAGACAGAAATAATTAATTTATTGTTCTTTGCCAAATATGGCGTTTGCAAAAAGTAATTAATCCTAAAGTAACTTGTGGATAAGATTAACACATATATTGATTATTTCTGAATCCGATTTAAGATCGATTCTTCAGATTTTGATTCTGTTCATCCTTTCATATATAATTTCAATTTGTCATACTGATATGTATTTACACTTTGAGCTTGTACACTTTAATCTCTTGATGCCCAGTTTGGTTGCCAAGATAAGCTATAATTAACTAAATAGTTGGACTTAATTTGATGTTTGTTATCTTCAATAAATTGTCGGGTCGACCCGCCAAAATTATATAAGCATAGCTTATCTTGCATTCTAATGAGTTTTTTTTGTTGGACGTTTCAAGCTCCAATAAAATAATTGAGTTTTATTAGATTATTTAATCTTATCTTAAGTAATCTTATCTTGCCAACCAAACGGGACATGAATCTACTAAACTGCCATTGACTGACTGAATATTTCTTCCAAAATTATTGAATTTTGTCCTCCCGTTGATGAAAAACTATTTCTTAGAGATCCCTTCACATAATAATTATAAGTTCAATGATATACCTCTGCTTTATTATTTCAATTAGCTCAAAACTTGAAATAAATTGACAAATTCAGCATGTTAAGTATTTGAAAAAAGAAAAGGAAAAAAAGTAGTATACAATAGAAACAGTGAGAATGAGGACGACGGCATTGCCTAGTTCTTTGATACGGACTGCATGCTTCTTAGTTTAACTCCATTTGCCATTGAATAATAAATATTGCAATTTTTCGATTAACAAATATTGCAGTGATATATGATATAACTTTTGGGAGTAGTAGCCGATATTTATTATAGGTTGCGTTGTGACAGTGACAACATTACGAAATTGGCTCAATACCTCTGCCAACTGACCACTTCTATCTTCCAACTCCATTATATTATTATTTGCAAATTTGTCACTTTAGATAAATATTATATTTATTATTAGGCGGCGGATATATGCAAGCCCATTTTCTTATTTGTTCAAATCCACATAAATAAGTTTATTAGTTCAAGCTCGTAAATTAATCTAATTTTATTACATCAAGACCAAAGAGGACAATATACCCTTATCCACAAATAATACTCAAATACAAATAAATCCAAAACATCAAAAAACAAAAAAAAATATCACGACTGCCGCCGCCAGACCGCCGCAACGCCGATCAGCGAGACTTCCATCGCACTGGCGATGACCAGCGACCCACCCACCGCACCACCACCAACAAGTAAGTCCTTTTTACTAAACTTTTGTTTGTAAGTTCGAAAACATTAATCGAGCATCGATTCTTGATAAATATGTATGAATGAACATTAATCTATGCTTATTTCTTGTTGGGTTGCAATGCTTTGGCCGATTTTGAAAAAAAAAATTGAGATTGAAATTGATTTTTTTTTTTCGTTGGTTTCCCAAATCGGTTTACCCAAATCGATTTTGTACACGAAAATCGACGTCATAATGCCGATTTTTGTTAACTAAATCGGCGACACAACGTCGACTTTATAAGTCAAAATCGGCGTTCTAATGCCGATTATTGAGTACAAAATTGGTTTTCGGATACCGATATTTTTCGGATTTTTTTTTTCCTTTTTTTTTTTTCAAATAATACATTATATATTTGGTTAATTCATATTTTTTAAATATTTTGCAGTGGAACCTCAACCTCCTCGTGTACCCCCGACCGTGTCATACCGTAATCGAAAGGAAAATGCTCAAAAGAGCAAGGTGGAAAAGCCAAAAAAAAAAGGCGTGCCCCTTTAAATCCTCCCGGTCGATGCACTCGGATTAATGAAAGTCCTTCTTCAGTACCGATATTTCATGGTTTTTCGCTTTGTGGATTTTTTTTCCAACTCGTAATACACACTATCCTTAGGTATTTGGATCTTACAATACAACTTTAGAGGTATTAAGCATAAATATATATGTTACGAGCAATTGTAAGTAATGCATAATAATAATAAAGGCTACCAACAATCTTAAAATATTGTACATTAATTACATTGTTTCACGAAAAATCTTTTACCGTCTCGTCTTCACTTACATATGTTAAATCTATGAAGGTTTCTTGCAAGGCTACTTCTTGACCAACTAACTTTCTAAACATTGTAATCCTTGATTTCATACCGAAAGTCTTCCAACCATCCGCTTTTTCATCATGGTACCGTTGTCAATAATCCAGCATAGGAGGTATAGGACAATTCAATATTTTAACTCCCACCCAACATTATAGGTATCCTTTCCTCGTTTTGTCCCTTTAATCTAAATGTGCAATTACATTTTTTAGAACCCGTCCTCCTCTTTCCCTCCCCTTGGTCATCATCACCGGCTTTCTTCTTCCCACGATACTCACCGGCACGCTCACATGCGAGTACAACATAAGGTCTTCTACGCCCTTTCAATCCCGTATTTGAAACGAAAATGTTTATCACCATTCCGTGGCGTCTACCAACTCCTTTAACCCACTCGGATTGATGAATAATCCTTCATCAATCTCCTAAGTTGTTGCACGAAAGTATGGGAAAACGGTCTTAAAAAAACACAGATAATAAAATCGGTACTTAAAAACCGATTTTTGTAGTAAAAGTTGGCATGACAATACCGATAATACAAAAACAAATCATTGTTGTCATGCCGATTTGTACTACAAAAATTGGTTTTTAAGTACCGATTTTTATTAAAATAATCGGAATGTGGTTACTGACTTTAGTAACAAAAAATCGGTATTTGCAGACCGATTTTTGGTATCGTCGAATTTTTTCCCAACAAAAAAAACGACCCAAAATAAAAAAATAAACGGTTAAAACACACTTCATTGTGTTCTCCACCCTCGTAAACTACCATATCATTGTTTTCTGGTTCCATCGTGAATGTTTAGTATGTATTTGATAATTTTGGTGTGTAGAGTTTCTTGGTTGGTTTGTGAAGAAGAAGGAGAAGATGAGGAGATTTTTAAGTCGTGAAATAAGGAAGAGGGGTTTCTGGATTTATGTATTTTATTTGGTCATGCACAAAAGAAATAATTTTTTTTTATTTTTTAATGTTTTGTATTTTTTTTTTGATTTTAAATTTCATTAAAGGTAAATTAGTATTTTCATGTTGGAGATCTTGAACTAATAAAAAAATGGGCCTGCGTATAACCGCCGCCTTATTATTATTATTATTATGTAAATAATCTTCCATGCCTTTGAAAGACCAGATACAAACACTTACTTATTATATCCACATACATCAATCCCGAGTCTCATTTTGGTTTTCTTAGCTTGATAAATTAAAATACGAGTAACGATTAGTATTCACCAATTAATTGGTGACAATGAAACTATAACTGTTATGATTGATATATCCACTTGCCCGAATGACATTTTAATTATTGCAATATGTATGTATGTATGTATATACACGTACGTACAGGTTGTCCAAATGAATTATGTATACTATTAATTAAGTGATACTTGGCACTCAAATACCACCGGGACCGGGTTCGTTCGGCTGACCGATTTCTGAAACGTTATGGACACTCTGGTGATCATAACTTTTATTATAGAATTTCATGGTAATTTCGTGAGGAAGATTTATCATAAAACTTAATATTAATATTATTATTATTAGGGAATAAGATTATTTTGTAATTTGGAACCCAAAGCAACAATGGCGCGCGCGGGGTATATTCTCCTGTCATCAATCATCAAATCAAATTAATAAAAATATGAATAGTACTACTTTATTGTGTGCACGTCATCTTTGGGATTAGATTAATAGTAGAGACAAATTAAATTGAATTAATAACGTGTCCAAGCCGTGTAGGAAAAAATGATTGTTTCCTTTTTCAATTAATAATCAAAACAGCACCAACTTCTGTTATGATAAACTGTAGAAATTGTTATTTAGATTTGAATTAAAAAAAAATATAATGGACTGAGCTTGATAACTGAAATGCTCCAGCCCATAGATTTGATATTAGTACCCAAATATATATATATAGTTGGGCCTCGATCGTTTAATGTGAACTAGAACCCAAATATATTACTCCGTATTAGTAGTTAGTTAGTAGTACCCAAAAAAAAAAAAAAAAAAATGATTGTAATTAAATAGACCTCATATTTTCCTTATCTTTGTTTCCACACACACACACACACAAACACAAACACAAACACACGCACAGTTGTCGTCGTTGGTTGTTGTGTGGCGAGCAAACGCCATTCTCTGAGTAAATCTCACTCTCAATAATTTCTCAAATTCCGTCCTGTTCAATTTTCTTCATAATTAATTAAGCATGGCGGCGGCGGCCACGCTCGGCCTCCCCAAACTTGTTCCTTCAAAGCAAAAGCAAAAGCAACAGCAACCCCATTTCCATTCCAAATTACTAGTCTCACTAGTTTCCCACACCCAACAGACAATCATTTCAAAATCATCATCTCAAAACCAACCCTTAAGCAAAGATATTAATAATAATAATACTCAAAAACTCCTCCTCAATCAAACAACGGCACTACTTCACCACCTCAAATCAGCTTCTCTCCCTCTAACAGCACTCGCATTGCCTTTCTTTTTACACCCCGAGGTATGTATGTATGTATGTATGTTTCTCGTTATAATTAAATGTTCATGTGTGCTGATCTTTGTGTAATTAAAAAAAAAAAAAAGGATGCGGTTGCTGCTGGAGGGGAATTTGGGATATTTGAAGGGAGATCGTTTGCATTGATACATCCGATAGTGATGGGTGGTCTTTTTATATACACTGTGTATGCTGGTTATCTTGGCTGGCAATGGAGGAGGGTTCGCACTATACAGGAGGAGGTTTCTGACCTCAAGAAGCAACTCAAGCCTGTCCCCGTCACCCCCGACGGCGCCGCACCAGCAACTCCGTCGTCGTCGTCGCCGCTTGAAGCCAAGATCCAGCAGCTCACTGAGGTATACTAGTGGTTTTCTTTCTTCTTCTTGAGAACTAAAACATTGAAGAGAATTAAAATGAATGTATGTTGTGTAGAAAATATAAAAGGGTATTAAAGTGAATAATATAGAAAAATGGCAGGAAAGGAAGGAGTTAATAAAAGGGTCATACAGAGAGAAGCACTTCAACGCAGGATCCATATTGCTTGCTTTTGGTGTGTCTGAAGCTATATTTGGTGGTCTCAATACTTGGCTCCGCACTGGAAAGCTTTTCCCTGGACCTCATCTTTTTGCTGGTGCAGGCAAGTCTTGTTCTATTTTCTCTTGTACATTTTTAACAAAAAGTTTGTTTGATGGGGTTATCTAAATTAATGTAACAGGCATAACAATTCTATGGGCAGCTGCTGCTGCATTAGTACCTCCAATGCAGAAGGGAAATGAAGCTGCTAGAAATCTTCACATTGCTCTCAATCTCTTCAATTTACTCCTCTTCATTTGGCAGATCCCTACTGGAATCGACATTGTCTTCAAAGTTTTTGAATTCACTAAATGGCCTTGATTCATAACAACCCAGTTGTTTATATGTTTGTTCTTCTATGCTTGTATCCCATGATTTTTCCTAAATTCATTTTATATATACATTCTTTCAAATATAAACGGACCGATTTGTCTTTCAATGTATAGTCTCTTGTTGTTAAAATTAGCCAGTGAACTACAAAGTATCAAACGGTGGAGAGTGTGCTACTCCTATAATAATTAATGTCATTGGTTCCTATCGAATAGGTAAAGGTGATTGACATCAATTTTCTCTTAGTAAGTAGTTGTTGCGATACAAGCGGTGATTAGTAAAGTTTATGTTTTAGTTGGAAGTTTTTGGGAAGAAAAGGGAACCAACCGGTTGCTTTGATGAGAGACAAGGTATTGTTAGCATGAATGAATACTCAAGAATAATTTCCATCCTTCACTTTACCACATTACCATCAGAGTTGTGATCTTTTTGTCTGAGACGCACACACGACACATGACACATGACAAGTCTTCCCTATAAAATTACCTATTTTTGGATGCAACTAATAGTTGTTTCTATTGTGTGTAGGACTAGGAGAGCCATGAATGAATATGATGTTTAATTTTATTGCAGTAAGTATTAGGGTCAACTCTTGAAATACATTGAGAATACTAAAATATGCAAGCTTCTTTTGGAAGCTGAAAAATATGTAAAGGTACAAACTAAATATATAAATATAAATAGACCGAGGGAATCCACTTGTGAAGAAGCAAAGTGAGCTTTATGTCCAACATGGAATCTCTAGATATTGTAAGAGAAAAGAAAAGGAGATTGTGTTTGAGGAGCTGTCTTTGTTAAGCTGACTTTTTTGTTATTTTAAAAAAAGAAAGAAAAAAAAAGCGGGAATAGAGAGAGAAGTAGATTATTCGTTGATAGTGGAATGGAATCAAGAAAACAGAGAGATATATAGAGAAGATGATTCCCTAATGTGAATCATCTTCAAAAGAGACCGTCCGAGGTGAAGAAGAAGGTGATACCAACCGTAATTCGAACATTATACTCTCTGAGCTGTAATTAATATAATATAATTATTAATATAATGTTTCTCTCTTCCTCCTCCTCCTCTGCTGAATCTGATACTTTTCTTACCATCTATCTATCCTCCTTTTCCTCTCTTTGTTGTACACACATACGCTCGTGTTTCATGCTTTGTCTATTACATTATATATATCACACCCTCATTGTTTTCATTCTTTGTCATTTCATCATACAGAACACAACAACTTCTTAGAGATTGTTATGGCAAGCCAACAGCCTCGTCCCGCATGGTTCCGTTTTTCTTCCTTGGCTGCTCGTGCCCCTGCACCACCACCACCACCAACAGCCCCTACTCGCCCACCTCCTGTACAGGCACCGCCAGCAGCAATTCCTACTCGTCCACAGGCACCTCCATCAACAGCCCCTGCACAGGCACCCCCACCAGCAATTCCTGCTCGCCCACCAGCTCCTATGCCAGCCTTAGTTCGACCCTCCATTCCAATTAGGCCCTCTTTTCCACCTCCTCCTCCCGCTGCTGCTGCTGCTGCACCACCACCACGACCGTCTCCTGCAACCCCTCCGGCTCCACCAAAGTCACCAATTGCAACCACCCCTGCACCAGCTGCAACTCCACCAAGGTCTCCAATTGCAGCTCCAACAAGATCCCCCGCACCACCAGCAACTAGGTCTCCTGCACCACCAGCAACTAGGTCTCCAATTGTGGCTCCTGCTTCTCAGCCATCTCCGCCAAGGTCTCCACCAAACTCCGCCGAGGTCTTCTCCAGTCCAAAGATCAACCTTCACAACAAACTCCAATACTCCTCCTAAAACAAAACCACAGACTCCACCATCCTCTACAACCTCCAATACTCCTCCTAAAACAAAACCGCAAACTCCACCATCCTCTTCAAAGCCAACAAACGATTTCAAAGCCGCAAAACCAATACCATCATCTCCAAAAGAAATCAAACCTTTGGAAATTAGAACCCCACCACCTTCACAATCTCCTCAAATCAAGCCTTTATCTCACCCTCCATCCCCTTTCACATTACCACCAGCGCAAATAAACGCAGATGGCGGCCCACTCATCGAGCACAAAACGGTGCTCGAGCAACACACCACCGTTGTCGACAAACCAATGAAAAGCCCCAGAGGCCACAACAACAGTGCTCATTCTTCTTCCAATGGAAAGAGAGAATCAATAAAGAGCCGTGCGAGCACCAAGAAACCTTCCGAAAGTGAAGGATTGGGTATGAGAGTCATCACACTTGCTGGCGAAAACAAAGGAGCTATAATGGAACTGTCAAGTCACACTTCCCAGAAGAAGAAGCACTTTGTGGGCAACCCGAGGACACTGCAAAACAGCAGTAGATCAAGCAGTGAGAGCGATGAAGATGGGAGTAGTAGTAATAAAAGTAAGAGGGGAATGCGTACTCCAATGACAGCAGCATACTTAAACAGCAACGTCCAGGGACTGAACAATTCAATCCTATACAATACTAATTTTCAACACAACGACCCTGGGGTCCACCTCTCTCTCACCAGAAACTCCAACGGTGCTCCACTACACCGCCATGGCTAAATTATTTACAATGCTGCTGACTGGTCAGTGATCAATCAGTCTCTGTTTCCTTTCTTTTTTTTTTTTTTGTTTTTTTTTTTTTTTTGTTTTCGGATGGAATAATAAAATGGAATTCGTCATGTGACGAAAAAGTCAAGTAAAAGGGGCTTTGTGGGCACCGATTCTCCATCCAGCTAATAAGTGCTTGCTGCATCTTTCCCTGTTTAATTCAGGCCTTTGATATGAGATTTAATAAATTTACTCTTTGTTGTTTTCTGAGCTAGAGAACCATGAACTACTCACATCAAACACAGTTTTTATGATCAAATAATATTCCCATTTCAATGCTTTTTTTTTTTTTACATTTTTCTGCACCTCAAACAACACATTAAAAGAAGCACGTAATGACTCAACGGATTGTTAACTGTTGGAGCAAAGTACACATGAAGAAAAATAAATGAAATAATAAGACGACTAAGATTCAGTTTTGCTCATTTGAAATATACGAAAGCGAAGAATGTTGCAAATTCTGATACAAGAATTAATGGATGTAGTAAATATGAGCTTCATACATTGGTAGCTTGTAATCTGTGCGCAACACTATAGGGACAAAGTGAGCGCAAACTCAAAATGCTGTATTGGAATTCACAACGTATATTTGTTCCAACAACCATGTAAGTATGCAACCCTCAAGATATATAGACAGGTTGGCTTCAAAAGAGTGTTCTGTGATCAATTCCAAAACTTAACATGTTTTTTCAAGTCCTTTGCACATTTAAACACAGAATCTTAAAATTTATGACATGATTATTATTAATTAATGCCTTAATAGTTCGTAGTTCTAGCCAAATCAATTACTCCATATGGACCTCAAACATCGTACATTGCGATATCGAAAAAGAAGCATAAAAAATTGTGAATTCTGATACATATAAGCAATTACATTCAAATAAAAGTTACTCTTACTATTTTTGGTTGGCTAATCTAAGAGGCAACCCTACACCTGCTTTCCGGACAACTTAACTTGTCTGCTAGTTAATCATTTTCAGTCTGATCCATTTATTCACAGAAAAAAGATTTGCTTTTTAGCTAGAAATATTGCGATTTGTCTCCATAAAACTTGAGCAATTGGGTTTTTGAATAATCCAAATAAACTTACTCAGATATGTAATATCAACATATATAATTAAGGTCCATGAAAACTTATATTCCATATTTTAATTAGTAATGCACTTGTTCAGTTTCATGCTCCATTTTACTTATACATGTTGTTCTAACACATGTGTTGATGATGATCACATTCAATCATTCTAAACCGTTTGATTAGCTTTCAATGACCGGATCTCCTTGGACAGCAAACAGCTTATTCGCGCTAGCCGCCCTATTCACAAGCCAATTTTCCATGCATATATATATATATATAAAATAGAATAATAGTCAAATTTCTTATATGATAGTATAGGTTTTATCAGCCAAAAAATTCAATTTCCAACAATATACTAATAATAATATCCATGTTTATTAAATTATTAGCTGATGCGGAGAATGTTGAAAAGAAAGATACATCATCATGCTTCACTTGGTCTGTATTCAAATTCATTTTATTCTATTCTGAAAATTCTAATTCTCAACCTTGGCGGCTTTCACAATATTTACGTTTTACAATTTTTTTTTTAAATTGTTTCCTCTCTTCTCTACTCTTCTTAATTTAGAGATGATGCGAGCCATCATCATATTCATATGATATGATACGATCGAGAGAAACATGTGTACCTATCAATGTATGTCTCTCACATTGACACAGTCACATGCATAATAAATAATATCTGATTGTATTATTTTTGTGGAATAATTATATTGTATTATTTAATTTGTCATGTGTCCCTCTAAAAACGACTGTACCTAGTAATTTGTTTTCTTCTCCTTCCAGGCCATGTGATGTCATTTTGATTTTGTGTGCAATGCATTCAGGTTTCTTGTGATTGATGATGACCATACCTTGGCTTTTTTTGCTAATCATGCGATTATCACTAGTCCTAGCTACCTTATTATGCCAGTAGTGCGACGTCTAATTTCTAAATAAGCATAATCTCGATCGATCTCTTGTAAACAAACATTTTGTGTAGATATGAATTAGGATCTAATTAATAGTATATGATGATCAATTAAATTACGTAATGAACATATAAATGTTGGAGTTTTAATAATGCCCAGTAAATAAATTATAGATGTAGGTGCCCAAGAGCGTTAGGTTGGTGAAGGAAGAAGGAATGGGCTAATAAATAAATAATAATTCGAAAATAAAAGTTTGAAGATTAAATATGGTCCACACGATACAGGTCAGTATTGGTGGAATTATTGTAATTATTATATATTAAACCAACCCACCCACCCATCTTGGTGTATGTATGGTGGGAGAAGAGAAGAAAAGGAAACAGATCAGTTAATTATTTTGGTAGTTGGGTAAAAAGGGAGAAGAAAAATGGCAGAAAAAGTTGTTCATGTTCATGCCTTTGAGGATGTAGCTAAGCACAACAACAAGGACGACTGCTGGCTTATCATCAATGCCAAGGTTTTGGTTTTTAATCTATTCTCTTCTCTTCTCTTTCTTTCTTTCTTGGAATTATAATCATTCATTATTTGTTTTTATTTTATTTTATATATTTGCTGACAAAAGTTGCTCCGCGGGGATCTCGATTACCTAGCTTCTCTACTTTGCTCAACATTGTAATATGAATATGCTAAGAACGTAACAAGATTAGCTAGCTTCTTTTTACTTTTTTATAACAATAACTTTTTTTATTTCTTAACAATTGATATTTTAGATTGCAATTACCAAGTCAAACTCCAAACAAATTGGAAATTACTTCTACAAGGATTATTAATTAATTAATTAATTATATGCCTTTGATCTGAATCTTAATGTTGTTTGATTCATTTCCTGACCTAATTAATTTGGTACAATATGAAACTATATATTATCAACGTCAAGTTAAATTGTGAATTGTGTGTATTAATTAATTAATTAATTAATGAATAGGTGTATGATGTGACACCATTTCTGGAGGAGCATCCTGGGGGTGATGAAATCTTGTATATGTCCACAGGTACCTATTATTCACTTAATCATCATCATCATCAATATATTTATATGTGTAATGTAGTATTTGAGTGAGATTGAATTAAATCATTATGTAAAAAGGGAAGGATGCAACAAGTGATTTTGAAGATGTTGGGCACAGCAAAGAAGCAGAAGAGAAGATGAAGGAATTCTTGATTGGTGATTTTGATGTATCCACATTGACATATCCATCCAATACTAATACTCCTCCAACAATTGCTTCTTCCACACCACCAAACCACGAATCTTCCTCCTCCAAGATTTTGCTATTTATACTTCCCCTCTTGATTCTCGGAGTTGCTTTTCTTCTTCGTTTCTACTCCAAAAATTAGTATTCATATGCGTTTCTACGTCATGTTTAATTTGTCCCAACTTGTTGTTTCTCTACTATTTGTACTAGTTGCGGGTATAACATATAATCTTCAAATAATATGGCATATTCATCGATCAACACAATAATTATTCATTAGTTTGTCATCAACCAACCAACCCTTTATAATTTCTCATATTTTATTGCTGAATTTTCGTCATTTCTGCTTCTGTACTAGATCAAAACACAAGCTGCCAAAAAGGCTTATAAGATGAAATTATAAATACTTGAAGGGTATTGCTTAACCATTTTAGACGAATTCCTTATGTTAACATGTCGAGATCAAACTAGTTTTAAATGAATTACTCGAATTTATCAACGATTTTTTATTTCAGTCACAAGTGGTCCAACTGATAATAATATGGGCCCAAATATTAAAGGGCCTCATTGTGGAATAAAATTTATAAAGTCCAAAGAGAGAATCAGACCATAAAATGTTTTACATTGACAACAATTTTTTTGGCCCCCACTAATAAGACTAAGGTCTACATTTGAATTTTAGACTATGAATGAATGAATGATAATAAATAAACCCTAGGTAGGTTGGTGCCAGCTAGTCCCACTTGACTCGATCGATTTCTAGCAAAAGGGTACCTTTTTTTGCAAACCGAAAATTGAATTAAATAATGTAACTCAACTACTCCTCTGACTCATTTCTAATTAATATGGGCATCCATCATTAATGATTTGCTCCATGTTCACTACACTATGTCTATGTGTATATATATACATATAGTATTAATTAACACAATGATCATAGTAATAAATTTAAATAAAATGGAATTTCCTTGGTGATAATATAGTAATATTCACTCATGTGCAGTTAATGCATGACTAGTCAATCCAATGTTGAACACAAGTTTCAATGGAGTAACAGTACAAGATCTCTTTCATAATTGGCTCCTTCTTTTTTTTTTTTTTTATAAGAAATATATAATGTTGATGATGACACAATCATATATCCATGATAAGTAGACACGCATGCATACATGAATCATGATACATACACACATAAACAACAATTAATTAATTAATTAATGAAAGAGTAGGGACAGAGTTTTGTCTTTTTTACCTTGGCTTTTAGCCCCTCTCATTATAACCCAGGCCACTCCTCCTCTTCTATAACAAATCATTTACTCATTCTTCAATCAATTATTCATCATAACTCTCTCTCTCTCTCTCTCTCTCTCTCTCTCTCTCTCTCTCTTG